ATTTTCATGATTCATGACAACTCAATGCTGTCCGATAAATCGAGTAGAGTTAGGATAACATAGTGGATAGTATATGTATAAGAATTAACAATATCAGGTAACATAGTTTCGTAAAATATATAACAATAATATTACGAATCAATGAGTTGTTACATTTTAGAAAAATTAGAAGCACTAAATTAAATTATGAAAAGATATCATGTATTTGTAAAATATTCAAAAGTAGAAAACAATTATTCTAACCTATTATTAATCTGTTATTATTGAATATTTCACAAATACATGATATCTTTTCATAATTTAATTTAGTGCTTCTAATTTTTCTAAAATGTAATAAATCATTGTTTCGTAATATTATTGCTATATATTTTACGAAACTATGTTACCTGATACTGTTAATTCATATACTATCCGCTATACTACCCTAACTCTACTCTACTCGATTTATCGGACAGCATTGAGTTGTCATAAATCATGAAAATATTAGATGTTGTATCTATCATATTTCTCGGCTCTGGTGAAACTAACTCGTACTTACTCCAACTCGAATTATCGTAAACAGCCTGTATGGATCAATGAGCATCAAGTATTGAACATCAAGCATCAATATGGCGACTAAATACTCGATGCTCATTGGTCTACACAGTCTTATGCTATGCACATGCAGTTATATCATTTCATGTATGAGGGCCCTTACATAATAGGCCTGCAGATAATAGGCAATAGAAATAAGCATTAGCCAATAGAAACAGGGAATAGAAATAATTGACCAATCCGAATTCCTATTCCCTGTTGCCTGGCATTCTGCATAGGATTTTACTGTCGCGTATACACGAGAAATGCGAACCACATAGAAATATTGCTTTAGACCCAATAAAAGTTACGACCCCTTACTTTTTAGTTCCAAAATCTCCGCTACGAGCTGCTACTACTTTTAATAAAAAACTTGAATAAGAACGCGTAGTCTTAAGTAGTTTCATTTTTAAATAGCAATTTTAAGCAAAATTTTTACTTTTTACTTGATATTTTTTTTGTTTTATATATATGAAAATTAATAGGAAAATATGCAATGTGCATTAAAATGCTTTATTTCAGGTTGGTTTACAGTATAATAGTAAATTTTAATTCTATATTATTCGTTAGATAAAGTCGTTTACAAAATATACATTACGAATTCCTTTTTATCAAAGTAGTTATAATGAATAATTTAATTAATACTACCGACAATGATAGTAACAGTAATAACAAGATAGGAAGATATGCCATCATGTTACCTGGTCTTTTACTGTAGTTAGATATTACATAAAAAAACTAATATATTGAAAGTAACATTTTTTATACGCTACAGTAAGCGACCAAGAACCTTAAGTACAATATTAATATATTTACAAATGCTTACAATGCCTATCTTATTGAAGTCCAGTCATGTAATTAATGTTAAAAAAAGACATCTTGTACGACAATTTTCAATATTATCAACACTGAAATATATACTACCTGGAACACGCGCTGCCTCTTGAGGACTGCGAGATGAGAAAGAAGTCCCTGTTTCTTCTGTTATATTTGTCTAATTCATAGTATAGTCGAGAGTGAGATTGTCACATTTTTCCCATTCTCGACTATACTATGAATTAGACAAGTATAACAGAAGAAACAGGGACTTCTCTCTCATCCTCAGGAGGCAGCACGCGTTCCAGGTAGTATATATTTCAGTGATTATCAATTATTATCAAGTCTTTAAATATGGTATATCAAAATATAAATATAAATATTGAAACACAAAGTATGGTATATCAAAATATAAATATTGAAACACAAAGTACTGGTAAATCTTGATAATACTGTATGTTTCGTGCAACATGATATTTTAAGATGTAAAAATTTAGAGAGCATGGAATAAAAACTAAAATAAAAAATTAAAGTAAAAAAGCAGAATGACCGAAATTTATACGAGTAATCAGCCTCCAAAGTTGACGATGCGTAATTACATATGCTTAGTAATAATTATGTAGGTGGTGAATATCTATGATAGGGCCAACAATAATGTGGCGGAGGCGGTGGCGGCGGTGGTGGTGGTGGCGGCGGTGGCGGTGGAGGTGGAGGTTGCTGAGCGGACGGCGATGGTCCCGATTGTAACGAGGATGCTAAAGATTGTTGAACAGGCGATGGGCCCGCTGGATACAAACGATGAGTGCGATGCGCCTGATGATGAGGATGACAATTCGCGTTTGTTATACGCGATGACGTTGACGCCTCGAGCATGATACCGGCTTGTGTTTGACAGGCCATCATCAGACCGTGAAAATCGAACTTGTAAGCGTAACGTTTACCATGAACTTTCGTCATTATATTCTTGTCGTAGTAATATCTGTGGAATAATGCATATTTTCTTAACGGTGCTATGTACTATTTCACAGCGCTCGTGTCTGTAGATTTGTAGGAGACAAAGTTTCCTTTCATGTTGCGAATTACAGACATCTGAAGCGAGTTGAACGCATAAAAGACAAGCGGCAGAAGGCGAATAAGTGTGATCATTACGTGATCATATCGATATGTGCAAATTACCTTAACGCACGCGACAGCTTGTCGTAATTCATGTTGGGTTTGCTCTTGCGCTCACCCCATCGACGCGCAACTTCGTCTGGATCAGTGAGCTTGAATTCTCCGTTCGAGCCTTCCCACGCGATGCAGGAAGAGTTGGACGAATCCGAAAGCAGCTCCAGCAGGAACTGCCAAAGCTGAACCTGTCCGCCTCCGACCGCCCCCGAACCTCCTGCTCCAGACGTAGATCCAATGAGCGAGCAAGTTCGTTGTAGGAGGCTGAACCTTTCTGCAGCAGAAAACGAAACACGCATGCACCAAATCCCGTTCTCTGGCTACGAGGTCGTTTGTTCCGCTAGAGAGAAGAGCGATGGTCGCCGCATCTCTCCAGCATATTTGCCTTTCCATTCACGATACTATACCGCACGGTCTCTTATACTCTTCCATCTATCATCATCGGTGAAGATCTTCCGTTACGTTCACGAAATCGCTCGCAGTGATCGTCATTACGCAACGCGGTCGACTCGGACTCGATCGCATGTGTGAAAGGAAGTTATGTTCAACATTTCAATATTCCATTCCTTATTCCCTTTCGTCGAAACAAACTGTTACATTTATCTCTTGCCGCAAAAATTACCTTTCTTCATTATTTCGTCTCGGTTACAACGTATACATGTGTGTGCGTGTGCTACATATGCACATACAGAGGGACAATTAGAATATTACTGTAACAATTATATCTGCTCTTTGTCATTTTAGGCCTGAATTTGCATCTATTTCACTTTTTCAATTTCACTTTAGCATCGCGAAGAAAAAAGTTTATCCCATCAGGTTTACACTAGAAAGAAAATGATATTTTGACTTCCTTAATATATGGAGAATATAACATTTTTTTGGAAGTTAATTTTTTATACTTAGAAATTCCGATTTTCTTCGATTACTTAACGCGATCTTCCATTGTTATAATCCTATTACGTTATTCGTCGATCATTACGTTCAATAGCGCGTCCTTAGACTTTTTTAAGGTAAAACTTTATCTCACTGAATCGCGCGTTTCCAAATAACAGCCAATTGATCTCAGCAATATTCTAATTGTCACCCTACAAATGTAATAACATTATACCCTATAAATGTAATAACATTATACATAATACAGTTCCTGACGTTTTTCCTTCCTCTCTCTCTTTTTTTACTTTCACTTGCTTATCTCCTTTCCTCTGAATTTACCGTTATAAAGAATCGCAGCGGCCGAAGGATGTAATCTGGTGTCCTGCTGAAGGTGTAGAGGATGTGTCTGAATTCTCCACATTACGTGACGAATGCGCTGATATCTCAGCCTAATCCTGTGCCATATAAACGGCGCTTTCGAAAACCAGCGTGCGACAGACCCGTCGTCATCTCTGCGATTACGCGCATCGGGTTTTGTTCAATCGACAAGACGATCGTCGCTCCTAATCTCTATACGTCGTAATCTCCTTTTTTATTTGAAAGAAAAAGACATGTGTATCAATACTATGTCCCGTACAGCAGTGTAATAACATACTCTCGAAATTTCTTTGAGTGAAATTTCACTCCAAAAGTAGAGTGACTCGAAGTCATCGAGTCATTCGAATTCGAGTGATTGCTCATTCATATAGATTGAATTCTTCACTCTTAGTCGTCGAGTGATTAGTTTCGCAATTAAAGAGTGAATTTGATGTGCTTCATCGTTACAGAAACACATTCACTCTGATCGATTGAAACATTCACTCATATGCGATCAGAATTCACTCTAAACTCGAATGAAACATTCACTCTTGCAATTTCGAGTGACAGTATTTCTACTATCGTTTTAAGTAAAAATACTGCCGCTCTTCACTCGTTTTGTGTGATTCCACTCTAAGAAATTTAAAGAGATAGAATGTAATTTCGCGAAGACTTACTGGCATCGTAAAATCACGTAGCATGAGTAATTTCATCACACAGAACGATGCGTTTGTCGTCTCGCGAAAGAGCGAGAACGTTTTCTCGACGAACCGACGAGTTCGTTAAATTAATTGGATTCCATTTCACCGGTCGGCTCGATAGCGTCACACGTCACACGTATCGCGTTTAAGTTCACGCACACGCGCGAGCAAGCGAAGTCAATCGACCGGTCGATCGGACCGCGTCGACGGTGGGACGCATTTGGAATAAAACTCGCGAGCCTGTGGGCAGAGAGCGACTGAGCGACCTTTGCCCCTGGTTATTTCAGCCCTTATCGCCCCCACTCTTGGTCTTGGCAAGAACGGAATACCTTTACACCCCCTCTCTTCTGACGTATCGCGCTTAGAGCACTTACCAGTAGTTACGATCCTTCTTTCGCCTCTTTCACCCGGGAAATTTACGCTAATGTCTCTCCTCGATACGTCGATACGTTGCATGCACCGTGAGGAGACGAAGTTACGCCGCGTTACATTTTCATACGACAAATTCTCCCATCGGTATGAAATACTGACCAAATGATGCGATGCATGCGACCGATCCCGTGGAGATTCCTTCGCAATTCGGCCGTACAAATGGATTTTGCGAGCGCGTCACGATCGCTCATAGTAATCACACATTTATCCAGATCGTATCTCCTCAAACCTGTGCATACGTTCGATATTATTCCATCTGACGTTTACGAGGGCATAAACAGACATGTACACGTCTTTCTCCTTCTTTTTCCTAATCTCTCTCAGCAAAGCAAATGTATAAATCCGCGCGATCGTAATTGGTCCGAGTCGATAGGCGCTCTCGTCATTGAACAACATCGCGGATTCCCGCGTGTATTATGCGCGTAAGTGTGCAAAAGTATACGTGAAACACTGGCGATGTGAAAGCGCGACGAAGACGCGACACGTAAAATTATCCCGTATACATTGAAGATCCAGCGAATGTTTCCTGCTCATCACGAAAACAATATAGACGCGCCCCGCGGCGAGCTTACCGCCCCCCGAGCCCGTTAGAGCTTGCCTCTGGAGGAGAGCAGAAAGAGGGGTAAAAGCGGTCGCAGCGAGCTCGTAACCCCGCGTCGCGCACCACCTTGCCGCCACCCTAAACACTCGATGGTTTATTCATGAGGACTCTCTCACCGCGATAACACTGATTCGTTTAATAAACGGCTGCTACCGGGGCGAGATGGGTCGACACACACGCACACATACAGAATAAGAGAGAAAGAGAGAGAGAAAGAGAGGGGAAGAGAGAGAGACAGAGAGAAAGAGCGAGAGAGCGAGCTACAACGTTATTCAAACAGACGATATATCTTGGAGGCTTACGCTGCCACGACTAGGTTCTTCTTACTTTTTGCTTTTCTTCTTTCGCGTCCGAAGAGATGACGCTACGCTTTCCCGTTTTCGTACAGTTTCGTTTGAGATTTCAGAGCTCAGCATGCGAGAACGAGATCGATCGAATTGATAGAAATTTGCAATTCTGTGTATCAACGATGCTTCCTGTACTGCCGCACTGCAATTTGCAAGGGAGAGAAATGTTATTGAAATATTCTGTACGAGTCGTTTGTTTCATGATAACACGATATATCTGATCTTACAGATAAAAATGCTATTACTATGTTCTTGATTTCAGGTTGAAAAAGTGCGTACTATGCTTCGATATACTATTACTTCAATCGGTCTATTCAGAGGCGAGAAAAGCTCGGAGACGAAGCTATCGCCGGCGATACTGATATTTACTTTCCTGCTCGGACCGCGTTTATCTGTAATAGATCTCAGCCATCGTTAAAGCTTTAGATAAGCTCGAGTCGAACCAAGATCGGCCCTTGGGGAACGGTTAGTCTCTTCTGGTCATTCTCCATCGAACCTTGACAGATCCATGACCAGACCCCCCATTAACCTTTCCTAAGCTTTACTATGGGTCATTTAATTTATAGCGTGAATCTCGTTTTAAATTTACTCTCCTGCAACTAGAAACAGACTCAGGAAATTATTGAGTTGCTTTAAACACACGATTTAATCTCGATTCGTTTCGGATATTATACGGAACTTTAGAATCTCTTGCGAAGTTTCAGTTTTAATGTAACATTTAAACAATTAAATAGAAATATAAAATAAGAAATACAATATAAAAAAGAAATAAAGTAAGAAAAAGAAAAAATATGAATATAATATAAGTATGAATATAGTATAAATAAAAATAAAAAAATGTAATGTTGATTTTTAAAATATTAATTACTGTTGCGATGTAATCTACGTTTCTTATATAAATCTACAGTGTAGTCTATTGTAATCTATTGTTAATATATATCCAATAAACATCAGCTAACAGTAACATTACATTAATGTTGTAATTTCCTTCTGAACAATATAAAAGCTATACATGTGTTATATCACATTGTTGATTAGAAAATTATAACATTAATGTAACGTTACTGTTAATTAGTGTCCACTGGATAAGCACAGTTACATAAGGCCTTCAAGACTTCTGTGATTTTTCAGAAGTTTCGAAATTTTCAGGAATTTTCGGAGTGATACTCGGAGTGATTCAGACCGTCGTGCGATCAAGTAATTCGGAGCAGAGATTCGAATGCCCACCACCTAATGAGAAAGTGAACGAAAAGAGAAAAACGAAAAGTGATCTAGCACTCTCTCAAGTTGGACATTATTATAGTTTTCGATGAACATTAACTAACCAACATTATCCTCGTTCTCCTGCAGCAGATCGGGAGTGTGCACACCAGTCCCCTGCAGAACAAAATGGCCTAAGTGTCGAGCTAGAAGTCGGCCTCCCGTCACGCCGCCGATGTCTTGCCAATCTCGCAGAGATAATTTCAGCAGCTCCTTCCCAGTCGACGGAAGTATCGTAGCGACCGGCGTTGGTTTTATCGAGAATGTCTGACTACACCATGAAATCCATGAAGATATGTGGCTCGAGTTCCAGTTGGATGGATCTGAAAAATCAATCCAATATCAATAAAACTTTAGCTCGTTCTTTTCAGCTAAACTGCGCTGACAGGAAAAATATCTAGAAAACAGTAAATATTTAAGCATATTAATGACATATTAAATCTAAATTCTTTTATTAAAATATAATTGCTCTCACGAAAAGCTAAGGTTTATCTTAAGATTCTTAAGGTTTTAAGAAAAAAAAATATATATTTTCTTATTTGGAGAATATTTTTAATTAATATAAATGTTATTTTTTCTTAGTATCCACTAAATAAATATTTAGGACTGGATCTTTATTTCTTTTCCCATAAACATATGACAGACTCAGCGAACATGGAGCTTTAGCAGAATGGAGAAAGCAGCAAAAAATAAGAGAATTTTTTTGTTTTTATCTGCATAAGTAGAATATGTGATCATCTTTTGACAATCATAATAGAGACTGCAAAGACTTCTCTTCCAACATATACATGCACGATTAAATCATTTGAATGTGAGTCTAATTTCAGATTAGTCCAATGATATTGATGTTTAATTAAATAAATAATATTTCAAAGAAAATATGGGATAAAATATATATATAATTATACACATGCGACATACTATGATATATTTAGGTTACTGTTACTTGTCAATCATTACTTTATTACTGTTAATTATTATTAATAATGCGTGCACAGCGAAGAAGAGGTATTTTGATAAATATTCACCAGATGGCACCATAATTTGTTTGGATTCCAATCGATCATCAGGATTTTCGTCGTTGAAGCTCTCCCCGTTGCTTTTTGCTGCAGCTTTACCTTCAGTTTCAGTATTACTAATACACACTTGCATAAGACAAACTTGCTCACAACTCGTAGACATTTTTATAAACTTCTTAATATCAGTTTCTTCTGTCAACTTAGATTCCTATTCCGATCTTGATCTAAAGGTTTCAGACGGTGCACATTAAAATGGTTAGACAACAGTTTCCCGAGAAGTGGAGGGGATAATGTTGGTACCAAGAGAAATCTCTACACGATATAATTTAAAGATCTGTTTTTTGTAACTGCACTGTTTAACTAATGCAAAAGATTAGAGTGAGAAAACGTATACTTGCCTTATTTCAATTTATTGCACCAATTTAGCAGTGCAGTTACAAAAAACAAAATCTTTAAATTATATCGTGTAGAGATTTTCCTTGGTACCAACATTATCCCCTCCACTTTTCGGGAAACCCAATAAGCAAATTGAGCGCAGACTGGCAGCAAATTTGATCAAAAACCCACAGCAAAACCATCTGTGTCTACATTAAGCTACGGTTTTGGCGACAGATCTTGCTGTCGGGTAATGTTGGTGCAAAATTTGCAGCAAAAACCGCGCAAAGCTTGCAGCGCAGCAAGGTCTGCACAGTTTCTGCCGCCAATCTGCCGTCAAATTGCTACAAGCTCTGCGCGGTTTTTGCTGTAAATCTACAGCAATTTTCCGACAACAAGCTCTGCCGCATATCTGGCGGCAATTTGACAGCAAAATTTGATATAACAGATCCTGCATCAAATTTGTTATCTATTTGCCATCAAAAGTTGATAGCAAGCTCTGCTCGAAATCTGTTCGCGCAGATTTGGCTATCTAGGAACTGTCGCCTAACCATTAAAATCCTGTGCGGCAGAAGGATTTGCACTTGTCTCTCAACGTCTCCTGATTCGTTGTTTTTTTCACATGCAGATAAGCTTCTGACAAGCGATAAATGAGTTTTTGGCTGTGTTGAGTTCATCGATTGCTCACGTCAAAAAGATTAGCTTCACCAGTCTTTTTTCCCGCTAAATTCAATCACTCACTATCACAATTCTATCGTAGCGCACAGCAAACTGGACCACACGAACCGCACATCTCTCACTATGTTATCACGTTGTAGATCGAATGATCCTGTCAACAAATGCCGTTATAACGCGACATCACAACAACATAACGCGACGTCACAGAGCGATGTGTCTCGCGTCGAGCCGTTGCCGGTGCGAATGGAAATCGGAACAGGCAAGGCAAGGCAAGGCAAGACAAGGCGAGATGAGGGGAGGGGAAGCAGAAGTTTCAACCGCACAAACTTGAGCACGGCAAAGACTCGATTGGCGAAATATGGATTCCCGGAACCAAGGAGGTACACTCGACCGCTCAACCGCTCGACCGAAGTTGGTCGCGCTCGTGCATCGCCGAACGCTGAATCACACACCCCGATTGCTCATCTTTACTCGGGTCCTTTTTCTCGTTTTATTAAATCCCGTCGTAGTAGGGTTAAAATGTGCGCACGGCTGAATCGACATACTAATATCAATTCAAGTTGGAGCAACATTCACCTTTAACCTTTCACATCTAACCAGCCGTACGACAAAACTAGAACAGTTGAATCACATTTGATTGCGAATTTATACGAAAATTCGCAGCTCTAATAGAGAAATATACGCCTTTGCGATTCGTTGAAGAGAAAAATCGTGATTTTCGCACCATACACACACAATCCAGGATAACAGCCTGAACACTTCACAAAAATGAATTTCTCGATTACGCGCAATATGTGCACATATTCGTACAGCAAGATCGTTGATGACATTGACGCAGTTGTTTTCTCGAGATAACTAACAAATTATGATGCACAAATATGTGGACATATTGCGCATGATTGCAAAATTCATTTGGATCTAAAGTTGTAAAATATCGAGGCTATTTCCTGGATTGTGTGCGTACAATCTGTGCATTATATAGCACGCGATATTTCGATTCAATGGGAACGATACACATTACAACACCATTCACTATTAATACACATCCGGGCGACCCAGATGCGGATTAGTCATACTCTAGAAAATATACCTAATGCGATTGTGTGAAGCTAATCGGTTTTTTGTCGGCAGATGCGATCGTCAATTCTGAGAACGCGTATATCCTTTCCTTCTATCGTAACTTATCCGATTTAAGTCTTTATCCATCCGTCGCACTTAAAATATGAAGAATGTATGTCGATAAGGATGAGGCAAGGTGAGACAACACGTAAAGGTAAAGTGATCCCGCATAGAACAAAACCTTTATTAGACGTCCATAGATCATCTATTGCTCCACCAGACATCTATCTCCACGGTGGACCACAAGTGGATCTCTAATGAACATCCATTAACATCCATCGTGGACGTCCACTGTACATCTACTATGGATGTGCAATAGATTTTTACGTTTAATTTTTTATTGAATTTTAATACGACTTCTATTGCATTATAGCTTTTCAAGTAGAACGTAAGAATCAAAATGATATAAATTTGACGTCATTTTGACCAAACATTGAACAAATTTATGTCAATTATCAGCCAAAAAATATGAAATTAATGTCATTTTGACTATTATGTTTTACTTGGGCTATTCCTAACAATACAAAAGATGATTGTAATTAAAATATATATTAAATAATGTGAAAACTTTTTTATTTTTATTGCAACATTGGCATAAAATAGATTCCTCACAACATCGATATCATTTTGACATCAAAATATTGCGAGGGAGAAAGAAGAAATATTCTCTTTGTTTTGCGAGCACGTTGTATGTTAAAGTTTGATTACTTATACAACATTGTATCAGTATTAATCGTATTGTGATTGTTGTTACGTCCTTTGAAATATTTACCGATAAATATGTCATTATATTATATTTTTGAACGCTATAAGAGCATATTGTAAATACATTCCACTAGTGGAGGTAGAATTCCACTACAGTGGAATTGGCGTTACTAGTTCCCGAACAACCGTGAGGTTAAGCATTGAACAACATAGTCATTTAAAGATGGGTGCCGTCTAAAACGGGATCGAATTCACGCGAATCTCACGAATAAATGAAACGACACAAAATATGAAATGCCAGTTTTTTTTTTTTGTTATTTAGACAAAATACTTCATTTTTCACTGAGTGAAATTATGTAATATTACTGAGATATTGCAATATTATTGTGATATATTGTGTAATATTTATTAGAACGTCCACTGGAAATCCAATGGAGGTGCAAGATACAGACACTTGTTGAGTGGAAGCTTTATGGATTTTCCATGGACGTCTATTAGAGGTTCTGAATCTCCATGATGGATGTCTAATAGACATCTAATAGAAGTTTTGTTCCGTGTGGGATCATTTTTGTCAATGATGTGACTGAGGTTGTAATATTATCGACACTACGTACTGATTGAAATTTGAAATAAAGATATCAAACTTCCGCTTGTAGCGCTCGCGCATGTGGAATAAACGCACTTTTTCTTAACCGTTCGTCAGTACTTGCTCTCAAGAGTTTTGAAGTTTCTGAGGTCATGTTAAGAGATGGCGTTACTATGATTACGATTCAAGTGCCACTTATCCGAATCTTATATTGTCTGTGATTGAAGCATTCTTTTAGATTCTTTGTAAGCCCAAGAATATTCGCCAATCAGAAGCGATAATCATTATGCATTCCTTGAGCTCCTCTTTTTGGCTGCGTTTAGATTCTCCACCCGGGTGTATTCTATTACTAGAAGTGCTATAGTTTATGTAACATATACTGTAGTGTTTCTAGTAATAGAGTGCACCTAGATGAGGAATCTGAACGCACCCTTTGCTGAATGTAGCCATTGGCTATAAAGCCCATTCTACAATTGCGTGAACGTGGTTGTATGTGATTACGACAACCAATCAGAATAAAGCAATCAGTAAATAAAACATTCGGAATGGTTGACTCTTACGATCACGACTACCCTTACGCAATTGTAGAATGGGCTTAACGTATCTGATAATAAACTCAAGTAGGGGGATCTTAAATATAATCCGACCTTGAGCACCGCCTTTAACTTATGCCCGTATTCATAGGCTGCATTCGCTTTATGCGCTGAGCGTCATTCTATCTTCTTCCCGCATGTAATGAACGATAAAGATAGAATGACGTTTAGGCTGAGTTCCCACTTAGCGCGTCACGCGTCGCGTCGTCCGAGTTAAACTAATCAAATCGTCCCATTTTATTCGGCGTAAAGTACGCAATAAAATGGGACGATTTGATTTGCTTAACTCGAACGACGCGACGCATGATGCGCTAAGTGGGAACGTACCTTTACAGAGTGTAAGCGCCCAAAGCAAACGCAACTATTGTCAAGACTTATATCCTTAAGTCCATCTTGGATGTTCTGTAGCAAATAAAATGATTCGTAGAGCACTGAAGATGAACTTGAGGCCTTAAATAAGGCCTAATTATGAATACGGACATTAATCACGCTTTTATAAAGGGAAAATTACAAAACACAAATTCGTGGTATAACACTTACTACAATTCCTATTTACATAAATATAGATTGTAATTATTAAGAAATACGAAATTATCTGCAATTATTAAAGCACATTCAACCAGTAATATACCAAGTGCTTCTTAACTATTGATAGAACAGTAATAGTACACAGAGCATATTAATTACTGCCATTCTGCAAAACTCGATGCAAACTGTTATAACGTTTCAGCATTTTCCAAAAAGTGCCTTATGTAAAATGTCAATATCATCTTTTTCTTAAAGATATTTCACAGACTAGATTAAACATACAATTAGCTATGAGCAATACTATTATTGCCTCTTCTTCGGAGCTTTTATGGGCTTTGATTTTTGCTTTTCTGTTCTTGAGAAAAAAGATGTTATTACTTCGGACATTTCTGGCATGTTATAAATGGTGAGATTATTTAATTGCTCCATTTCCTATAAAAAGAAATATATAGTTCATGACTTGATGAAGAAATAAAACTTATCATCTATAATAAATTGTAGTGTTCTATTCATAGAAAAAGTAGATACATTAAAAAAAATTGTTTTTATATATTCATTTCCACATATACATATATGTTGGGAAACATTTTGTTAAAAAGTGGTTATTTTACCTTTTTAGTTTCAGGATCACTCATTATTTTTGGCAATATCATGATTAGTATAAGTGGCAGAACCATCATTAAGACCTATAAAGAAAAAAAGGATAATTTCAAATCAAAGAACGAAAGGAAAAAATGCTAACATACGTATACAATATGTACTTAAAAATTCTGCCGTACCATAGGATTGAACAAAAAGTCAGTCATTCGCCATTGCTCCCTGACTTGGAAATATCGAAATGGTGCTAAAGGTCTCATTTTTAAGGGATAAGGTACTTGAATAACTTGTGACGTCTGTATCAGATTCACTTTCCGTGCTCGAAATTTTCCCTTTGAATTAATTTCTACTCTGATTGGCTCGTAAACGTAATTTGGATTTACCACTTCGACCATGTACGATCCGGATGGAACGTTCGTAATTATAAATGTACCATCCTCCCTGAAATGATACAACAGCATTCGCATTAATTATTTCATGTAATTATCGTGTAAACATGTACATAAAAGGTATCTGTAAAACTACGTGTATAACCTTAAAAATCCATAATGTTCACCACCGTTTGCCATTACATGTGTCATGAGTTGCCATCCGGTGGATGCCGTATTGTCCCAAGGGAACACTTTTCCCTCGATCACGTATAAATCCGTAGACGTGTCTTCCTCATGTTCAGCTATTACATATTGCTCGCATAAATTCGAGATTATAAAGAGTAAATACAGGATTCCCTTCATAACGAATGTTAAGTGATCACCTTCTTTTACGCACTTATCTTTGTAAACTGTAATACGTTCCGAAATTCACTGCCAGTATTGAAATTCTATAGTATATATAACATGAACTATAGATTTTCAGTACTGGCAGTGAATTTCGGAACGCACTTGCTTCTGCTGTGCACCTGCTGCTGCATTTATGCTTGTATACTCATGGTGCAGGTGTACGAATGTCAATTTGTATGTACTTGACCGGAAAAAAAACTCCGGTTGGAAAACTATTTTTTTAAATCGTTTGTATTTCGTATGAAGAGTTTTAAAGTGCAATTGAAAAGATTTGTGAGTCATTCTATTATTTGTAATTAATTGTTCTTTTTTGGACCATGTATTTAGCCGAAAATAATGACCGGAGGTAAATTAAACAAAGGTTCGGTATGGTATCGTTTGTATATCGTATGAAGAGTTATGAAATATCATTAAAAAGGTTTGTGAGTCATCCAGATAATTTTAATTAAATATTAAAGAAACATGTATTTGGCCGAAATATCGATCCCAAGCGCTGCTGTGGAAATACCGTCAGGCACGATCGGTATACTATCTAGTATTTCAATACTCATGTACAATTGTAACTCATGTTCTACAATTACGCAATTGTAGAATGGGCTTTAGGCGCGTTCAGCGGAAAAAGCAATCAGCGATTATTGGTTCTTACTGTTAGATCCCTACATCTAGATCAATTATATTGACGAATTGCTCAACTGTTGTGCAACTGTTGGTTCGCTGAATGCATCCAATGCTTGCGCATCTTCTATTTACATGCGATAAGAAGAAATCTTTGGTTTGTTCTTTTTAGTTGCACTGATGCAATAAGTTAGAGTGAGATAAACATATTTTACTTCACTTAAACTTATTGCATCAGTTCAGCAGTGCAGCTGAAAAGAACAGACCACTTGGCTGCTCGCGATCCTAACCTATGTTCTCCCACTGACTTTTTCTATTTTGGCAGTCATAAAGTTAGTGTCTCCGTGAATGATAGACTTTACGTCATATAATTGTATAACACAACAATCACAAGTTTTACACTGTTCTCACGACGATGGATACTGTATTCGAGTGTTATGTAGTAAATCAGTAGAATGGCTGTGAAGGAAAGTAAAATCGACTTTGTCACGGATCCTTGTCCCATCAAACCTCGTAAAATTGGCCCGCAGAATGTTGTGGTGCGTCTTAGACGCAGGGAAACTATGGGCTGTCCCTTCCCGGGCACGCACGTGCACACCGCGAGGCAGTTCTATCAAAATGTCTTTCCTAACTTCACTGTGATGAACGTGGAGAAACCACCGTGTTTCCTGCGTAAATTTAGTCCGGACGGAAAGTACTTAGTGGCGTTCAGTGCGGATCAAACGTCTATCGAAGTGTACGATTATTGCGGGGCCTCCGCCGCTGCGGACTTGATAGCCGAATGCGAAGGCGAATACATCGGCCACAAGAATGACGACTGTAGTTTTCACATACGAAGTAATATCTTCGCGCGATTTTTCAAGGTACTCAACACTAACCAACTTTGGCGCACGCCTACATTGCAGATTATTCAAATTAAAAAAAAAAAAAAAGAAAGAAAGAAAGGAGAGAACCACTGAAATTGGTGTACCAGGTCTGAAACGTATTTGTAGGTTAAGTGGATTATAAATGTGGTACAAAGCAACGAGCAATTGAACAGAGAGTGCAGTCTTTTCACAGATGATGCTCGATATGTGATCGTGGGCTCAGCCGCGCATATTCCTGATGACTTGAGGCCACACTTTTATCAGGTAAAGACAGATTGTTGGCTCTTCAAGAACTGAAAAGTAAAAGAGAGTCTTGTTCATTCTAGATTTATTCTAATAATGAAGCGTTGACACCAAATCCAAGATCACCGCTGGAGGATTATAGTCTGCATCTGATCGATTTACGGGGAGGAAAATTATGTGATACTAGACACTTTAAAGTAGATAAGATTTATCTGTCGCACAATCAAGGTATAAGAATGACATTTCAACTTGAAATTTTGATATGCTTGGAATCATTACATTAGTTGCAGGTTGTATTCGATCATTGGGCTAAATCCAGTCTTTTTCATACACAGGTCTTTATTTGTACAAAGATATATTAGCAGTATTGTCTGTACAGCATCAGACTATACACATCTTTCAAATCCTTGATGGCATGTTTATAAATGTCAGGACAATAGGAAGGTATTATGAATTCTGAGAACTGGCACATTAAGCTATCATAGGAAATGTTACAATTAGTAACAATCTAATAGAAAATACGAGTGTGAATGTTATTCCTTGTATAATACGAGTCATGTGTGTTAGGTTTTGTTTGGAAGATGACGCGTACTTAGTTACAAGCGCATGGCCTGGAGCTAATTGTAGACCATTTAGAGATGCTACGATAAATAGCCTGAAACATAAGTTATTAGTATATTTATATAAGAGGGCAAAATACATAAGTTACGCGACGAAAGACCCGTATGAATTGAGGAGATTCTATCAATATTTCGACCAGGTACTATTTAAGAATGCCTCTATTTTCAATTGATCTTTATGTGATCTTATTCTTGTCATTAATTAGTCATTTTCGAAAAGTTAATTAAGTGAAAATGCTTCAGCTAAATTCCCTGCGAATGTGGAAGATGCAACTCTTAGACACGGACCATATTTTAGTGCGATACACGAGCGAGGAAGTGGCGACTTTGCAAGCAAACGAACCTAATGCGCAGCCGGCGTTATTAGTCGTTTATGATATGGTCACGGCCAAAATTTTGGCAGCTTATGACAACGCGTCGACTCAACTGTTAACCCAATTCGAAAACTTCAGCGATTTTTTCAGAAATGCCAGAATGAGTACGGATTGCCAGTACATGTGTTCACCGTCTAATAACATATATGCCAGGTATGACACGCGAGGCCCCCTGCTTAAGCAGAGGCTACCGTAACGTTCACATGTCTGCAAAGTTTTCACTCGAATGGTTTTACTTTCTAGATTGTTGCAACAAAGATTCAAATATACAATAATAAGCGCCAAATTCGGTGGCGTCACGGAAGCGACGAAACGTTTACTCGCTCAATTGCCGATATGCGCTCAATCTTATTCCAGTTCGCCCTATCTGGACTTGTCATTATTTTGTTATGACGACAAATGGGTTTCTATGATGGAACGCCCCAAAGCATGTGGCGAACATCCCATACGGTTTGTACAAGCTGCAATTCGCTTCTGCTTATCCCGCAGCAAAAATTTGTCTGCTGCATAGCTGATCCGTACTGGTGATCAATTTCTTTTTGTTTTTACAGCTTTTACGCACGCGATTCGGGTCTCCTGAAATTCCGAATGTATGCGGGTATGTTAGGCAGAACAGCACCGACATCTGCGAGACGATTGGTCGCGTTCACCTTTCATCCGACAGACCCGTTCGCGATTTCGGTACAGCGTACGAATGCAGAATATATCGTCAGTTTCCACATCAGGCATATTTAAGTCTTCCCTTTTCTAATACGTTTGCATCATGGTAGAACACGATTAGATTAGTGGACGTCTCACTGGAACAATTGAGATTGTTGCTGCTAGAGTACAAAACGAATTTTCTGGAAGAGAACACGTTATAAAATAACCAGTTAAATCGGAATCAATATGAACAATCTTTTATGAAATTCATTGACTGTTAGGGCATAAGATGTATGATGTATAAAATGCAATGAGGTTTAGCACATTTTAATACGACTTGAGATTTGGGGACTATGAAATGCGAGAATTTTGTAACGTTATTTTTGTAATTTTACCAAAACGTCACATGTAAAGTAGAATATTGTTAGGTCTCATCCTTTTGAACTGCAGTTTTTTATTATGTCTGTGGAGCAGAAGGAAATGTAGGGAGATGTAGAAAGTGCAAATAAAAAGAATAAATTTATCCTAAGTAATAAGACCCGAAATTTTTCTTTTAGTTGGAAGCAAAGCACGTTAAAGTCGAGACCACCTGTTTGCGCTATTATGGATGCGTTCCACTTAACGCTCGCAACAATGCGAGCGTTAAGTAGAACGCGTCATATAAGGATGTTGCGCTACTTTATAGGTCAAACTAAATACAAAAGTCCTCTACCATTTTGCAAATGATTACATAGATTTTTAGATATTAATTAAAGAAAATTTGTATATTATGGTATATAATCATGTAACAATTTTCTTTAATTAATATCTAATAATCTATATGGTCATTTGCAAAATGGTAGAGGACTTTTTTGTCCAATTTGACTTATAGCGAATTCGGTTACTTGCACTAGTGTGCACTGAGTGCGCACTAAGGCTTGTTCATAGTATGTTATTATATTTAAAAATTGTCTTAAATAATTCTCAAATAAATTCTCAAATATTTTTAACCATAATATGATATGTATAACATCCGTACGAATCATTTTATTAGTTAAAATGTTTTTAAATATGTATTTAAGACACGATCTTAAATATAAGAATGTACTGTAAACAAGCCTTAATGCGCACTCAGTGCGCACTAGTGCAAGCTACCGAATTCGCTATTAAGTTGTAAAAGATACAATGGCAGACGGCGCCACTGCAGCCATCTACCAATCATTCACCAATCTTCTTTAATTAATATTTGACTATTATTGCGAATATCGCAAATAGGACTTATGTTTACCTCGACTTTTTCTACATTCCCACAAAATATGCGGAAGAGAGTCTGGGACACTCTGTATATATATGATATATTTAGTCGTGGAAAAGTTTTTGTTCAAGTAAATTTCGAAAGAGGAGGGAGAAAGTTTAATAGCGAATTTATATTTCCGCGACATTTTATGTCAGACACTCAATACCCAATAGAAATGTTCGTTTCCTAGTAAATTAAACATCCCTAATTGAATGCCTAGAAAACAAGAGTTCTCATTGGCCAATGTAAATAGTCGTATTTATGCTGTAAGATGGATGGGACCCGATTGACTACGGTACGATTGGACACAGATTGTAATGATTGGTTCGACTTGGTAATTCACTAGATAATTCTTTGCATCGGTTGGTTGTGTCCAATCGTACCGTAGTCAATCGGGACGCTTTCCCTGACGATGGAATATAAAAGACTACGTTGCATGCATTTTGATCCATTGCTTTCTCGCATGTTGTGTTAGTACGGTAGCTTGGGTGCAAGGGAGTCAAGTCGCGTGTATAGTTTACGGAGTATAGTGACGCTATTAGAGTTGAAGCGATATGAGGAAGCATTGAGGCATCTCTCAACGCGAATTATTTACTGAATATCACTTTTCTACTGCAACGTTGATAAAGATCCAACATTACATCTATTACAGCATAAATTGTGAGTAAACGTTTGCGAATGTATGTCTATACAAGTCACTATTAACTTTATTCTGACACGAACCTTTCTTCCATGCTTTTTTCTTCTCTTTTGGTTTCAATAAATTTGCTTCATCTGCATGAAGACACGCATATGCAGATATACGATATAATGTTCTGCTGGTGCGTGCACAATTAGTATGAAAGCAAAAACGTTTTGTTAAAATTTGTAAAGTAGACTTTAATAAGGATTTGGAACATAAAAGAATTTTACTTTAAAATAATAAGCTATATTATATAATAAGATAAGTTAAGCTATATTTAAGTAAAATAATAAGTTATATTACATAGAAGTTCTAATTTCTGAGTAAAATATGTTATATATTATAGGACTTTGACAATATTATAAGCATATAATACAAACATTTGTATCATAATTGATTATAGCATAAAAAGCTATTTATAAGTAAATACTATGTTATTTATATATTATACTTTAAATTATTTTTTTCTTTCAGAAATCTACAAAAAGGCAAATATATTTGTATATGACTCTTGTAATAAGAGTGATTGCGGTAATCTTATAAAATATTGGTATCCTCTTATGTATGCACATGCATATATATGCATGAGCATGTATTTTTAAATATATACTGATTATTACACATATATCACATAAATATATATATATATATATATATATATATATATATATATCCTAACAACATAGAGCTGCCATGTTGGAAAGCCAGACATCAAAGCCACAGGAAAACGATGGTAGATAAAACAAAACAATATAAGATTTTTGCAACTTAGAATCAGAATATTATATAATTATAGGTTGGACTGCATCTGATAAAAAGTATTTTCTCATAAAACATCAATTTGGATCACCCAAGATGCTCAACAGATCAGCCACACAAAGGAACAGACATTTACTTAGGTGCAAAATTAATAGATCCTTGAATTTTGATTTCAATTTTTCGAGAAAAAATCATTCCCGTCGTCTATCACCAAATTCAATGAACCATAGTTGCTTCAGTATGAACAAACCATCACGAGAATTATCCAGATCAGCTAAGATAATGAGAGCGCTGAGCAGTGATATTTCATTTCGCAATAGAAATGAAAATATAAAAAAGTCATTGCAATTCGAGTTTAGTTCGGAGAAAACTAATAGTTCTGATGAAAGCACTTCTGTTGAGTCGATAGTTAACACGCCGGTGCATACACCAGATAAGTCTTTGGGGTTCGATAAAAGTTCGACCGATTCTTCTGCTACCAGCAATGCGCCGAGCGTATCTTCAGAGTCGATTGACGAAAATCAAAATCGAACACCACAACAAATTCGAAAAGTTGGCAGGATAGTGGGTGATACTTCCAATACTAAGAGAAGCGCGAGCAAATCGAGATCATCTGGTTCGCGATCGAGCTCTACATCGTCTCTTCGAAGCAACATGAAGGAAAAAATCGACAGCATTATATGTAACACGCGGACTCCTGACTTTCAATATTTAAAACAATACGGCATGACGTCGGGCTATGCTATAGCTGCGAGTACACCTAGAAATTTGTCCAAGGAATTTGGTAATGATGAAGAGGACAGCCCGCATACCCCTGAAAATATGATACGACTTATTCCAGAAGGCATGAGTAGTATCAAGAAGTGTCATAAGAAGGTATATTACATTGTCTATACAGTATTATGTTACATTTTGCCTCTTCGTAATTATTAAAAAGGCTGCGTCATAATTGGCAAAAAGAGCCAGCACATAGCATTGTTTGCATAAAAGTAAAATTTTATTTTTGGCAACGAAATTATCGAGGCTATTAATTTCTAATAGTTTCTAACTAATACTTTCCAAATTAAGTAATTGAGAATAAAGAGCAAATTACCCAAGTCTGGAGAACTATATAAACGAGGATAGTTAATGGATTAATTTGTTCTTCGTACAAGTACATATACAATTTATTGTGCTAAAGAAAAATTAATTTTGAATTTCAGAAAAGGAGCAGTCTATCTGCCTGTTTTTTTTTTTGCCAATATTTTATATTTATTGTTTGATAACTATTTTTGATTACGTTGATTTAATGATTACGTTATTTTTACTTCAATAGGAGAGATTTAGTTGCGTAGAAAAAGAGGCTTTGAAAATAGATGATCCTGTGCGGAATGAAAACTTATGTGCAAAAGGAACGACAGAGTCACTGGAAACAGATGACATACTTACAAGTAGCAGTTCTGCTACGAAAGAATCTCCGAAGAAGAGTAGAAATGTTAAGAAGATACTCGTTTATAATTTGGATGATGAGTTTTCTGACAATGAATTAATTGTTGTTGATGCTAAGCAAAAAGCTGCGCCGAAGAATATCGACTCGAGCGATAGTGAAATGTGCGAAGAAAATACACAAGATATTCATGATACACTACCATCAACATCATCAAATAATGATGAGAAGGAAAACGATTCCAATTTGCAAGAGGCAACATCAAGTAACGTTGATTTGGCAGAATCTGGAAACAACACGACATTTGAGAAGTTTAATCCACTTATTGATCTACGTACACCATATATTATTCACCCAGTATCACCTCCAAAACCTACGTGTTTCCGTGAACAATGGCCTGAAATGACAATAGCGAAGTCTACTTCATATACAGATCCAAATCTAAATCAGTTACTAACTGTATGGGGTAATAAAAGACACGCATTTGAAAATAAACGGCCGATTACGCCTGAAAATACACATTCAAGTAGACTCTTATTGTCTCAATACATGTCTGTTAAAAAATCACACAAGAAAGACAAGAAGAAGAATAAGAGTATTTCGGATATCTCATATGTTATGGATAATGAAGGTAAAAACAGCAATATATTGTATTCTAACTTCAGTTGTATGACAAAGTATATCAATGATAGAGTTCCAAAAGGAAATGCTGATAAATATAACAAATTGTTTCCAGTAAGATCATCATCTTCCGATGGATCTAACCAGAAAAGAAAAAAGGGTATGAGCATGTCTATGCAAGATTATTTGCAGTTAGCGTATTCTGGTAGATTTTCTCCAAGATGTCAAAATGTGGACAATGAATTTACAATTCATACTCCTAAAAAAAGAACGTCATTCTTCCGTACTTTAACGAATTATGTTTGCAAAGAAAAAACGCCACTAGAAAGAGGTAAGTTTATACAACTGACGTTGAAGAAAGTAAATAACATTGCAGATATATTAACATTGAAAAATTTGAAAATTATGCATACTTTATTTCAGACAATGAATCAACCGAAGTTGCGGATACAATAGACGCAAATGGAAGGTTAACTCCAATTAATATGTCGACGGCAGAACTACTCTGTAATAAAAACTCTATTAAAAAGTCGCATAAGAAAGACAAGCATGACGGTAGCATATGCAGGAGACGAAATTTGGGGAAGAAGCTGTTAGAGTATACCAAGGAAACAGGGAACATGAATATTGCAGATTACATTGAGATATTAGAAGATCGTACAACTCCATCCTTGAAGTTAAATCCAAACGGTGGTTCTTTTGACGAAACAGGAGCGTGCAGTAGTAGGCGTAATGAAGACAGGAAGAGCAACGAGGAGAGCATTTACGATCCTCAACCATCTACGAGCCGAGAGAATAGCCTTATTGAAAGTACGAAAAATCCGAAGAAATTGCAACTTCCAAGTACAACACCTCCGAACAATTTGAGTACGCTGAAGTTTATGAAACTGCAGCACGCAACTTCCATTAAGAAATCTCATAAAAAAGAGCGTGACCTTAATGCACAGAGCAAATATATTTTGATGAATCACGAATACGATTTGTCTGATGATGGATCGATATTCGACGAGGAGGATAAATTGACTTACGATGAAAGTCCGTGCAAATATAATAACAATTAAATGACAATAATTGAATGGTATGGCATGGGTAAGTTCAAGTAGAAACTACTGAATATTGTCATGGAGATAAATCACGCTAAGTGATTGTAATGTAACAATTACTTAAAAGGATGGAAGTGCCTTAAAAGAAAATTTCCTTTTTGCATAAAATAATTACAAATATTGACTTTATAGGTATTATATTTACCTTATATTTTATAAATTTGGAAGGTATTGAAAATATAATTATAAAAAATTATATATATATATATATATATATATATATATATAAAATTATATTTTTACCATATATGTGTGAGATTTCGAACTTAACGTAAATTTAAACCAGAGTTATGTAATTGATTTACAAGCGAATATAACAAAAACAAGTAGATTTTTTAAAGTTCTTTTTTTTCAGAAAAAAATCTACTAAAGATTTTCTAATTGTAAAAGATCTGATTAAATATGCTGCAATATCAGCTGATTAATACTGTCAATGTATGATTAATCGTCAGTAATATTGTTTAAAGCAGTGCTTTTTAAAGGCATGTTATATCTTTTACATAGATTTTAACGCAATGTAATTTAGGCATGGGCAGTATTTGTAATATTTACGTATGTAATACTGTTTATTTTTTGCTAGCATTGTTTATACAATTTTAAGAGTAGACTTTCATAAGCATATAATACAGTTTTATCCTCAACTGTTTCTTTTCTTTTTCACAATAGTTTCACTTTTGCAATTGAAATGTTACACTTAGATTTTGTAACATTAGTTTCTATAAATTTTATTCATATTTTGTTACATTTTTGTATATAATTTATAGAAAGTATGGGCACCTTATAAATTACAATGCGTTTTTACTCTAATTGAATATTACATCCCATAGTACAAATCTCTAAAAGACTTCTTAAAGAATTCCAAAAGTGTTTTAAAGGACTTGGGAACTCTTTTGGAACTCTAAATCTTTTAGAGATTTGTGCTATATGGGATATATATCATTGAATAATTTACAGAAAATAAATTTATGTATTATTAAAAACCATATGTAGGATTAAAAGGAATGAGTTAAAAAATTTCGCAAAAATTTTTCTATATCCTTGTGATATTGTATATAAGATAAACATAAATACATATTTTCCTAAACATAACATAATAAACATTGTTAATAGCATAATATGAATAAAGTATATGGCAACGGAAGAAGTGTTAATTTTTACAAAGACAAAATTTTATTATTGTGTCTTATGTAAATTTAGAAAACCTATGAATGTATATCATGAGTTTTGTAAAATTTATGGTTATTTATAATTTTATTATAATTTTTGTTCATGTATCGCATGTGTGTATAGCTTAAAATAAAATGCTTAAGTTGTATGCGAATTTGCGTTAGATTTATTAGCGTATTGTTCCCGCCTGAAATCTTAAACGCTTAAAGATATTTCTATGAAATTAACGCCATTTTTGTTTCTGGAAAGCTTGTTTCTATTGGCTTAATTGTTAGATTCCTATTGAATTATATAAGTCTCGATCTACAGTAGGTGTAGTAAGCTTTAAGCCGTAAGAAATTAACCAATCACAATTGACTATTCCTCTATAATTCCACTGTGATTGATCAATTTCTTAGGGCTTAAAGCTTATTACACCTATTGTAGATCGGGACTAAGATGCAATATGAATCCTTTATAAGATGAAATTGTAAAGCGTCTTCTACAATGGCAGTAGGAGTAGTAGTAAGAAATAAGCAGTAAGCAAATTGACCAATTCCATTCTCACGTTTCAAAAATAATCGATTGTGATTGGTCTATTTACTTACTGCTTATTTCTTACTACTACTCCTACTGCCATTGTAGAAGACGCTTAAGGTAAAAATATTGGGAGCGGTGCACTTGGACACGGTGCATTTGGACACAGCCAATCACAGCACCGTGTGATTAGAGACATTTGTAGGGTCCCTTGGAACAGCGACTTGTGATTGGACTGTGTCCAATTGCCCCGTGTCCAACTGATATACACCCAAAAATAATACTGTTTAAAAGTAAAACCCGTATTTTTCTGTAATAAAATGTTATTTGATACTTTTTTATAAAATGTTAAATAAAATGTTATGTTAAATACTTTTTTATAAAATGTTAAATAAAATGTTATGTTTAATAAAATGTTATTTGATACGAAACAGTAATAAAATGTTTTTCTTCGAATAACGTAAGACAAAATTTTACTTTATAATTAACGTAAGAGAGGGCGCGACGGTAGAACACAAATTTCTTTATGCAGTCACCATTTCATCATACTGTACAATCTTTTCTCCCATTCCTTTACCCTCCTTTCCTTCTCAATTTGCTCGCCGCTGTACACGTATTGTATTGAGCGTGATCCACGTTTCGTGTCGTAGGACTTAAAGGTATGTGTGTATTTAGAATTTTATTATATAGAAAATAATATTCTGCGCTTTCAGTAACTTAATTATTGTAGAGTTAAAATATTCAATGTAATTGATCGATTGCATTTTATCAATTGTCATATTGTTGGATTCCACTAACAATGTCACGTTTGTGAGGAATGCGTGTAGATATATACAGAATGCATACGTTTTATTTCCTATTCCTTTTAGCATTTATGTTCAAAGTTTTACGTTTTATGTTTTTAATTATGTTTTTTCTAAAATTATATAACAAATCGATGTAATTCTATTTTAAATACGTTAGAGAGGTTATCTTTCGTCTACTTGTTAAAGTATATAAATATACATATAACTAGGTTTTATAGTTGAGATGTTATCAAATTTTATATGTGAGAAAATCGTGCTATTTAATATATATAAATTTACATATAGAAATTTATTATCATGAAATGATGATTTATATTATACCATCTTTCGCCTGAATAATTATGAAGATGTACCTATTACTGAGAATTAAGTTTAAGAAAAAATTACATGTGCATGTTGCATCAATATTTTAATACAAATACATTGTTTTGTAGAATGCGTTACGTGGCCGCTTATGTACTGGCTGTTCTGGGAGGCAAGGCCTCACCAAGCCAGAATGATATCGAGAAGATCTTATCATCAGTCGGGATTGAGACAGATTCTGAAAAACTGAAAAAAGTAATTTCAGAATTAAATGGAAAATCCATTGATGAGTTAATTACCAAAGGTATATAGTGATATATTTTATAAAATATCTTATTTTTGTAAAAAGAACAATATACATTGTTTTTTACAAGAACCAAGTTCATTATTATTGGCTAATTTTAGGTAGGGAGAAATTATCATCTATGCCAGTCGGTGGAGCTGCTGCTGCAGGTGCTGCTGCTGCTACTCCTGCTAGTGGCGCAGCAGCTCCAGTGGAAGAGAAGAAGGGTAAGTTCATATGCTTCTTTATTATAACATCAACAGTTCATTACTTATTGTACCAAAATAGCATATTTAAGTGTCATTAGAGTGATAAATCTATATCATATACGGATACTAACTATAATCTTATTTCAACAGAGGAAAAGAAACCTGCCAAGGAGGAGTCTGAGTCTGAAGATGATGACATGGGCTTTGGCCTGTTTGACTAGAAAATTTTTTAACTTGTCAAACAATTTGGGCTCAGGACAAAACATGCTATGTTCTGCAGCAGTAATGTGAGTTAATTCCAATAAATTTTTGTATTGTATAATTAATGCAAAATTTTCATTACTGCTGAAGAATAAAGCATATCTTTTAATAAAATGTAGCCTGACTGTTCCTCGATATTCTGTTTTTATATGTATAATTTTCGTACACCTTTTCCTGTTATGTATTGTATAAACGATAATAGGCGAGTTTCGAGTGTATCGACGTAAATCGGTAATTTAATTTAGCGTAATAGAGAAAATCTCTAACATGTTTGATGCAATACGGTATATAACGAAGGCGGAAAACTAATAATCAAAGAAAAAGGAATTTTTGTGGTGCTTTTTTTTTCATTTAATTTTTCCTTTCTTTTTCGCGTTCATCCGTATAAAATGTCATGCATTTGTGCGTTGTTGCGGTTTCATTCACGTACTTTAGCGTTGTCATATCTGAAAGACAGTATTGCAAAAACTTCTTATTTTTATACGCGGAATTATTTCGAGATAGAGGGATGATATTGGCGGCCATGATTGATGTCAGCGGTAAATAGCGATAATGTTCGGTCTTCGTCAGTTGGTTTTATACTTTGTTGATTGATGTCGAATGGTCGGAGGGAAAACTGTGATGGGATTACGTTAAAATAATAGCAAAGAAATAGAAAGAAGTTTCCTGTCTATACAATAACGTGTGACAACTCGACGAATCGTTGCACGACAAATCATTACACATGATTGTATAGATAAGAAATTTTTTTTCATTTCTTCGTCTATTTTTTACATAGTTTTATCACTGGTGTTCGAAGCAAGAATAGCACGTAAGTGGATACAGTTGGATTCGTGACCGTAGGTGGTTATCCTGCAGGAGAGATAGTGGTTGGAAAGCATGATGATAGTTTGAATATTTCGGCAAAATGACGCAGCTACAGCCCATAAAGTTAAAAGAACATTTTCAGGTATGTCGTCTATTTTCCCCGTCATATTGCTTATAAGTCTTCTATAATATTTATAATTACACTGGCGATAATATATAATCTATATGTATATATCGTTAATAATTAGTTTTTATAACAATAAAGTTAAGTTTTTATCACAAAAAATGACTGATATGAAGTTGACTACGTACCACATAGTTCATGTTCTTAATTAACTTAACAAATAGTGGTACAAATTTCATGGATGTAAAATGATCTCCTGTCTCTTTACAGCTCACAGCTTTAGGGATTAATCCCAGCATCGACATTAATACACTTACTATGGAGTCTGATAAATTCATCTGTGTGATAGAAAAAGTTGGTGATACCACTGAAGTGATTGTTATCAACGTGAATAATTTGACCAGTTTCCGTTGCAAGATGCAATCCTCAGCCAATTCTGCAATTATGAATCTAGTCAGTAAAGTCATAGCTCTTAAAGGTATGTCTGTATATTCTATTCTTCAACATGTATGTATGATTGTAGACATGTATGGTTGCAACAAGACTGAGAATAAAAAAGAACAAGAGAAAGTAGAAAAAGTGCATTATATGTACAAATAACATCATTTTTTTCTAACACAAATATTCGTTTTTATTCAATTAGTTATGAAGACACTGCAGATCTTCAACATCGAAATGAAATCGAATATGAAAGTCCATACAATGATGGAGGATGTGGTATTTTGGAAATGGATTTCGCTGAACACGTTGGCGTTGGTAACGGAAACCGCGGTATATCACTGGTCCATGGATTACTACTTTATTACGCCGAAAAAGATGTTCGAGCGCCATTCATCCTTAAACGGCTGTCAGATTATCAATTATAGAACAGATCCAAAACAGGCGTGGCTATTATTGATCGGTACTTCGACGCAAGATAATCGAGTGAACGGTGCTATGCAATTCTATTCCGTGGAGCAAGAGTATTCGGAAACGATCGAAGGACACGCTGCTTCCTTCGCTCAGTTCAAGATGAAAGAGAATGGGGAAGCCAGCAATCTGTTATGCTACGCCGTCAGAACAGTCCAAGGAGCGAAGAAGCTTCACATCATCGAAGTGGGTCAACCGCCAGCTGGTAACCATCCATTTCCGAAGAAGACCGTGGACATTTTCTCCCCGCCCAACGACTTTCCTGTCGCCATGCAAATTAGCTCCAAATATGACGTCATTTATTTAATTACAAAGTACGGCTACATTCATATATACGACATTGAATCTGCGACATATATATATATGACACACATCTCGGACGAGACTATCTTCGTCACTGCGCCGCACGAAGTTTCCGGTGGTATAATCGGAGTCAACCGTAAAGGCCAAGTTCTGTCCGTTTCCGTAGACGAAGAGAACATCATTCCATACATCAACGAAGTACTGCAGAACTCAGAATTGGCTCTGAAAATGGCCATGAGGAACAATTTGCCCGGCGCAGAGGATCTGTTTGTGAGGAAATTCAATATGCTCTTTCAGACCGGTCAGTACGCAGAGGCGGCGAAAATCGCGGCGAACGCGCCGAAGAGAATACTCCACACGCCCGCGATCATACAACGATTGCAACAGGTCCGGATTACTCAGGGACAGACCTTATCTTTCCTGCAATACTTTGGCATTCTTTTCGATCAAGGACAACTGAACAAGTACGAATCGTTAGAGTGCCGGCTAAATTCCTTTATGTAGTCGCATAATTCTGTTTCAAATATATTAAAGAACTTATCTTTCGTCTACTTGTTAAAAAGTACAGAAATATATATGTATATAAAACTAGGTTTTATAGCTGAGATGTTATCAAATTTTATGTATGTGTATGAGAATCATATGCTATTCAATATACGTAAATTTATATATAGAAATTGATTATAATGAAATAATGATTTATACTATACCATCTTTTGCCTGAATAGTTGTGAAGATGAGATCTATAACTGAGAATTAAGTTTAAAAAAAAATTGCATGTGTGTGTGCATATTGCATCAATATTTTAATATAAATATATTGTTTTGTAGAACGCGTTGTGTGACCGCTTATATACTGGCTGTTCTGGGAGATAAGGCCTCACCAAGCCAGAATGATATTAAAAAGATCTTATTATCAGCTGGAATTGAGACAGATTCTGAAGAACTGAAAACAGTAATTTCAGAATTAAATGGAAAATCCATTGATGAGTTAATTGCTGAAGGTATATGGTGATATATTTCATATGCTATTTTTGTAAAAAGAGCAATATATATTGTCTTTCACAAGGATCATGTTCATTGATATTGGCTGATTTTAGGTAGGGAGAAATTATCGTCTATACCAGCTGGTATAGCTGCTGCTGCTACTCCTGCTAGTAGCAGCAGCTCCAGTGGAAGAGAAGAAGGGTAAATTCATTAGGTTCTTTATTATAACATCAACAGTCCATTACTTGTACCAAAATAGCATATTTAAGTGTCATTACAATGACAAATGGCTATATCACATATACAGATATTGACTATAATCTTATTTCAACAGAGGAAAAGAAACCTGCCAAGGAGGAGTCTAAGTCTGAAGATGACATAGACTTTGGCCTGTTTGAGTTTTTTTTTTATCTTGTGGTCAAACAATTTGGTCTCAGGACAATACATGTTATGTTCTGCAGCAGTAGTGTAAGTAAATTCCAATATATTTTTGTATCGTATAATTTATACAAAGTTTTCATTACTGCTGAAGAATAAAGTATATCTTTTCATTGAATGTAGCCTGACTGTTCCTCAAAATTCTGTCTTTATATGTGTATTTTCCTCACACCCTTTCTTTGTATGTATCTAAACGATAACCGGCGAGTTTCGAGTTGGAGGCGTAAATTGGTAATTTAATTTAGCGTAATAGAGATAACCTCTAACATGTCCGATGCAATATGATATATAACGAAGGCGGAAAACTAATAACCAGAGAAAAAGGAATTTTTCCCGCGCGTTTCCTTTTTCCTTTTCTTTTAATTTCTCCTTTCTTTTTCGCGTTCACCCGTATAAAGTGTTACACATTTGTGCGTTGTTGCGGTTTCATTCACGTACCTTAGCGTTATCGTATCTAAAAGACAGTATTGTAAAAACTTCCTATTTTCATATGCGGGAACTATTTCGAAGTAGAAGGGCGACGTTGGCGGCCATGATTGATGTCAGCGGCGAATAGCGATAATGAGTGCGTTCAGCGAACTCAACAGTTACACACAGTTGAGCAATTCGTCAATGTAATTGGTCTGAAGTTAAAGATCTAACAGTAAGGACCAATAATCACTGACCGCTCACTGATCAGTTATGTTTTTTGAACACAGCCAATGTTCGGTCTCCGTCAGTTGGTTTGTATTGTGATCGGTGTTGAGTGTTCGGAGGGAAAACCGGCGTTCGATAAGCAAGAATAGCACGTAAGTGGATACAGTTGGACTCGTAGCCCCATGGTTATCCTGCAGGAGAGACAGTGGTTGGAAAGCTTGATGATAATTTGAATATTTCGGCAAAATGACACAGCTACAGCCCATAAAGTTGAAAGAACTTCTTCAGGTACGTTGTCTATTTTCCCCGTAGTATTGCTTATAAGTCTTCTATAATATTTATAATTACACTGATAATATATAATCTATATGTATATATCGTTAATAATTAGTTTTTATAACAATAGTTTTTTAAGAAAATGTCTGATATGAAGTTGACTATGTACCACCTAGTCCATGTCCTTAGTTAACAAGTAATGCAACAAATCTCATGATTGTAAAATGATCTCCTGTCTCTGTACAGCTCACAGCTGTAGGAATTAATCCCAGGAATGTCCACTTTAATACACTTACTATGGAGTCTGATAAATTCTTCTGTGTGATAAAAAAAGTTAATGATAATCTTGAAGTGGATATTATCGACATGAATGGTTCTGCCAATTTCTATAAAACATTAATGTCAGGTGATTCTGGAATTATGAATCCAGTCAGTAAAGTCATAGCTATTAAAGGTATGTCTGTGTATTCTATTCTTCAACATGTATCTATGATTGTAGTTGCATAAGACTGAGAATAAAAAAAAACAAGAGAAAGTAGGAAAAGTGCATTATATGTACAAGTAACATTATTTCTAACACAATTATTCGTTTTTCTTTAATTAGATAAGAAGTTACTGAAGATCTACAGCTTCGAAATGAAATCGACAATGAAAGCCTTTACAATAACAGAGGATGTGGTGTTTTGGAAGTGGATTTCGCAGAACATGTTGGTGTTGGTAACGAAAACCGTGGTATATCACTGGTCCATGGAATACAACTCTACGCCGAGAAAGATGTTCGAGCGCCATTTTTCCTTAAACGGCTGTCAGATTAAAAATTATAAAACAGATCCAAAACAGACGTGGCTATTATTGATCGGTTTTTCGGCACAGCATAATCGAGTGGTCGGTGCTATGCAGCTCTATTCCGTGGAGCGAAAGTATTCGCAACTGATCGAAGGACACGCCGCTTCCTTCGCTCAGTTCAAGATGGAAGGGAATAAGGAAGCCAGCAATTTGCTCTGTTTCGCCGTCAGAACAGTCCAAGGAGCGAAGCTTCACATCATCGAAGTGGGTCAACCGCCAACCGGTAACCATCCGTTTCCGAAGAAGGCCGTAGACATTTTCTTCCCGGCCGAGGCCGGCAACGACTTTCCTGTCGCCATGCAATTTAGCTCCAAGTATGACGTCATCTATTTAATTACAAAGTACGGCTACATTCACATGTACGACATCGAATCTGCGACCTGTATATTTATGAATCGCATCTGGGGCGAGACTATCTTCGTCAGCACGGTGCACGAAGCTTCCGGTGGTATAATTGGAGTCAACTGTAAAGGCGAAGTTTTGTCCGTTTCCGTGGACGAGGAGAACATTATTCCATACATCAACGAAGCACTGCAGGACACGGAGTTGGCTCTGAGAATGGCCGTGAGAAACAATCTGTCTGGCGCAGAGGATCTGTTTGTGAGGAAATTTAATATGCTCTTCCAGAACGGCCAATACGCAGAGGCGGCGAAAGTCGCGGCGAACGCGCCGAAGAGAGTACTCCACACGCCTGCGACCATACAACGATTGCAACAGGTCCGAATTACTCAGGGACAGACCTTATTTTTTCTGCAATACTTTGGCATTCTTTTGGATCAAGGACAGCTGAACAAGTACGAATCGTTAGAGTGCCGGCTAAATTCCTTTATGCAGTCGCAATTTCATCATACTGTACACAATTTTTTCTCCCGTTCCTTTACCCTTCTTTCCTTCTCAGTTTGTTCGCTGCTGTATACATCCTGTATTGTATTGAGCGTGATCCACGTTTCGTGTCATAGGACTTAAAGGTATGTCTGTATTTAAAATTTTACTATATAGAAAATAATATTCTGCGCTTTCAGTAACTCAATTATTGTAGAGTTGAAATATTCCACGTAATTGTTCGATTGCATTTTATCAATTGTCATTGTTGGATTCCTTCAACCATGTCACGTTTGTGAAAAATCGCGTGTAGATGTATACAAAACGTGTACGTTTTATTTTCTATACTTCTTATAGCATTTATGTTCAGTTTTACATTTTGTTTTTGTTTTCCTAAAATTATATAACAAATCAACATAATTCTGTTTCAAATATATTAGAGAACTTATCTTTTGTCTACTTGTTAAAAAGTACAGAAATATATATATATATAAAACTAGGTTTTAGCTGAGATGTTATCAAATTTTATGTATGTATGTGAGAATCATGTGCTATTCAATATACATACATTCAATATACATTTATATATAGAAATTCATTATAATGAAATGATGATTTATACTATACCATCTTTCGCCTGAATGGTTGTGAAGATGAGATCTATAACTGAGAATTAAGTTTAAAAAAATTACATGTGCACATTGCATCAATATTTTAATATAAATATATTGTTTTGTAGAACGCGTTATGTGACCGCTTATATACTGGCTGTTCTGGGAGACAAGGCCTCACCAAGCCAGAATGATATCAAGAAGATCTTATCATCAGCCGGAATTGAGACAGATTCTGAAGAACTGAAAACAGTAATTTCAGAATTAAACGGAAAATCCATTGATGAGTTAATTGCCGAAGGTATAAGGCGATGTATTTTATATGCTATTTTTGTAAAAAGAATTTTTGTAAAAAGAATTTTTGTAAAAAGAACAATATATATTGTCTTTCACAAGGATCACGTTCATTGTTATTGGCTGATTTTAGGTAGGGAGAAATTATCATCTATGCCAGTCGGTGGAGCTGCTGCTGCTACTCCTGCTAGGGGAACAGCAGCTCCAGTGGAAGAGAAGAAGGGTAAGTTCATGTGCTTCTTTATTATAACATCAACAGTCCATTACTTTTACCAAAATAGCATATTTAAGTGTTATTACAGTGACAAATAGCTATATCATATATATGGATAACTATAATCTTATTTCAACAGAGGAAAAGAAACCTGTCAAGGAAGAGTTTAAGTCTGAAGATGATCACATAGACTTGCCTGTTTAAGCCTGTTTGAGTTTTTTTTATCTTATGGTCAAACAATTTGGTCTCAGGACAATATATGTTGTGTTCTGCAGGAGTAGAGTAAGTAAATTTCAATATATTTTTGTATTGTAAAATTTATACAAAGTTTTCATTATTGCTGAAGAATAAAGTATATCTTTTCATTGAATGTAGCCTGACTGTTCCTCAATATTCTGTCTTTATATATGTATTTTCCTCACACCCTTCTTTTGTATGTATTGTATAAACGATAACCGGCGAGTTTCGAGTGACGGAGGCGTAAATTGGTAATTTAATTTAGCGTAATAGAGATAACCTCTAACATGTCCGATGCAATACGATATATAACGAGGGCGGAAAACTATGATAACTAGAGAAAAATGAATTTTTCCGCTCCTTTTTTTTTCTTTTGATTTCTCCTTTTTCGCGTTTGTCCGTACAAAGCATCACGCATTTGTGCGCCGTTGCGGTTTCATTCGCAGCGACGTAAAGACGCGACAAAGAGAGAGAAAGAGACAGACAGGGGACGAAGGGGAAGGGGCGATACGTGAGATTCCCCACAGAATCCAATCGTGTCAAATCGTGGCTGTATTCTTCCGCTAGCGCCAAGATTCCTCGCGTTCAACGTCAGCGGGATCGCCCGCAGCGGTCACAGAGACAGGAAATACGGTCAGTCAACGATTAATTGTCGATGCCCGAGGCGGTAGAGCGCGCGAGGTGACTGTTTAACTTCGACGAGTCGCCGAGACATTTTCATACGCGGGAACTATTTCGAGATAGAGGGGCGGCGTTGGCGGCCATGATGGGTGTCAGCGGCGAGTAGCGACGGTGTTCGGTCTCCGTCAGTTGGTTTTGCGCTTTGATGATTGATGCCGAGTGTTCGGGGGGATAAAAGGCGTTCGATAAGCGAGAATAGCTCGTAAGTGGATACAGTTGGGTTCGCGGCCGCACGGTTATCCCGCAGGAGAGACAGCGGCTGGAAAGCACGGTGATACTTTGAATATTTCGGCAAAATGACGCAGCTACTGCCCATAAGGTTCCAAGAACATCTTCAGGTACGTCATCTATTTCCCCCGTGGTATTTCTTTCGAACGTGTAGGCGCACGTCACGCTAATGCAATCGCTGCCGGAATTACGTTGACCTTTCTATCTCTTTCTCCGCGCTGGACAAGATCGCATTTCCAGAGAATGCATTCTCGCGCCTATCTTGCCTGCGTGGAGGGTCACGAATGCGCTTACGAATTATCCGCTCATCTCTCTCTTTCTCTCTCTGTCTCACTTTTTTTCATGACACGTACACGCGGAACGGAAGTAGTTTTCTTTTTTCGGACGATTGACGTTACTTTGACAGCTGCGATATTCTTCGCATCGCGTGAAGTTCGACCACATTGCTCGACGCCTCGAACACAGGTCGACCCGTCGATTGAACTCGCAAGACTTCTTTCACGGCAATTTTTACAACGCAGGTTAACCGATCCGATTCCTGTATCAATTCATCATTAACGTTGCGTTGACAAGCGTGACGAGCGAATTGATTTTTTTTTCACCGATGCGCGGTGCGAGGTCCACGACTATCGTGAACGTATACGCCCCTCGTTTCCGCTTTTGCCGAAACTAAATTTATTATGCGGTATCTCTGAGACTTCTCTCAATTCTTTTGCGATTTTTGATATTAATACATAAAAATTATGGACACTTTCGCTTATCTTCTTTGTTATCGACATAAACCTGTCGTAAATGAGAAATAGCCCACGTCATATCGGAGTAAAAATATTACTGTTTTATTTGTAATAAATGTACAATACTTTGCTTACTATTATAAAATATAAGCTCATATCCTAGCAACATATGGCTATTACAATGATATATTATTAAATTTATTGTTATGTGATCAAATTTTGCTTATAAATCTTCTGTTCTATATTATTTGTAATTATTCTGACAATAATATATAATCTATATATAAAAGATACATTGTTAATAATTAGTTTTTATAACAATAAAGTTTTTCCCAAAAAATGACCAATATAAAGTTGACTATGTATCACTTACTCTATGTTCTTAATCAACAATTGTACAAATGTCATGGATGTAAAATGATCTCCTGTTTCTTTACAGCTCACAGCTGTAGGGATTAATGCCAGCAATGTCAGCTTTAATACGCTTACTATGGAATCTGATAAATTCATTTGCGTGAGAGAAAAGGTTGGTGATACCGCTCAGGTGGTTATTATCGACATGAATGATTCTGCCAATCCCATCAGAAGACCAATATCAGCTGATTCTGCAATTATGAATCCAGCCAGTAAAGTCATAGCTCTTAAAGGTATGTGTGTGTATTCTATTCTTCAATATGTATGTATGATTGTTGCACAAGAATTGCACAAGAGAATAAAAAAAAAGAAAGGTAGAAAAAGTACATTACACGTACAAGTAACAATTTCTAATACAAATATTCGTTTTTATTCAATTAGCTATGAAGACACTGCAGATCTTCAACATCGAAATGAAATCGAAGATGAAAGCCCATACAATGACAGAGGATGTGGTGTTTTGGAAGTGGATTTCGCTGAACACGTTGGCGTTGGTAACGGAAACCGCGGTATATCACTGGTCCATGGAAGGCGACTCTACGCCGAATAAGATGTTCGAGCGTCATTCATCCTTAAACGGCTGTCAGATTATCAATTATAGAACAGACCCAAAACAGACGTGGCTATTATTGATCGGTATTTCGGCACAGCATAATCGAGTGGTCGGTGCTATGCAGCTCTATTCTGTGGAGCGAAAGTGTTCGCAACCGATCGAAGGACACGCCGCTTCCTTCGCTCAGTTTAAGATGGAAGGGAATGGGGAAGCCAGCAATTTGTTCTGTTTCGCCGTTAGAACAGTCCAAGGAGCGAAGCTTCACATCATCGAAGTGGGTCAACCGCCAGCCGGTAACCATCCGTTCCCGAAGAAGGCCGTGGACGTTTTCTTCCCGGCCGAGGCCGGCAACGACTTTCCTGTCGCTATGCAAGTTAGCTCCAAGTATGACGTCATCTATTTAATTACAAAGTACGGCTACATTCACATGTACGACATCGAATCTGCGACCTGTATATTTATGAATCGCATCTCGGGCGAAACTATCTTCGTCACCGCGCCGCACGAAGCTTCTGGTGGTATAATCGGAGTTAACCGTAAAGGCCAAGTTTTGTCCGTATCCGTGGACGAGGAGAACATTATTCCATACATCAACGGAGTACTGCAGAACTCGGAGTTGGCTCTGAGAATGGCCGTAAGGAACAATCTGTCTGGCGCGGAGGATCTGTTTGTGAGGAAATTTAATATGCTCTTCCAGAACGGCCAATACGCAGAGGCGGCGAAAGTCGCGGCGAACGCACCGAAAGGAATACTCCGTACGCCCGCGACTATACAACGATTTCAACAGGTCCCGACTACTCAGGGACAGACTTCGCCTCTCCTGCAATACTTTGGTATTCTTTTGGATCAAGGACAGCTGAATAAATACGAATCGTTGGAGTTATGCCGGCCTGTGTTGGTTCAGGGACGCAAGCAGCTGCTGGAGAAGTGGTTGAAGGAGGATAAGTTGGAGTGCAGCGAGGAATTGGGCGATCTGGTGAAACAAGCGGATCCTACGTTAGCGTTGAGCGTTTATCTGCGAGCCAACGTTCCCAACAAGGTTATACAATGCTTCGCGGAGACCGGCCAATTTCAGAAGATCGTGTTGTATGCCAAGAAAGTCTCCTACACGCCCGACTATATATTCCTCTTGCGAAACGTCATGAGGATCAATCCTGACCAAGGTGTAGCGTTCGCACAGATGCTGGTGCAAGACGACGAGCCGTTAGCCGACATCAATCAGATCGTTGACATATTTATGGAGCAAAACATGGTGCAACAATGCACAGCATTTCTGTTGGACGCGCTCAAGAACAATCGGCCGAGCGAGGGTGCTTTACAAACTCGTCTCTTGGAGATGAACCTGATGTCCGCTCCACAGGTAGCCGATGCTATATTAGGCAATCAGATGTTCACTCATTACGATAGAGCTCATGTCGCGCAATTGTGCGAGAAGGCTGGTCTGTTACAACGCGCCCTCGAACACTATACGGATTTGTACGATATCAAGAGAGCAGTGGTGCATACTCACTTGCTTTCGCCCGAGTGGCTCGTAGGGTTCTTTGGCACTCTGTCCGTGGAGGACTCTCTCGAATGCTTGAAGGCCATGTTAACGGCCAACATTCGACAGAACTTGCAGATCTGCGTACAAATCGCGACCAAGTATCACGAACAACTGACGACGAAGGCGCTGATAGATTTGTTCGAGAGCTTCAAATCTTACGAGGGCTTGTTCTACTTCCTGGGATCAATTGTGAACTTCAGTCAAGATCAAGAAGTGCACTTCAAGTACATACAGGCGGCTTGCAAGACCGGTCAGATCAAGGAAGTAGAGCGCATATGTCGTGAGAGTAACTGTTACAATCCGGAGCGCGTGAAAAATTTCCTGAAGGAAGCCAAGCTGTCCGATCAGCTGCCGCTGATAATCGTCTGCGACCGATTCGATTTCGTTCACGACCTCGTTCTCTACCTTTACCGCAATAACTTGCAGAAATACATCGAAATCTACGTCCAGAAGGTGAATCCGTCGCGTCTGCCGGTAGTCGTGGGCGGTCTGTTGGATGTCGACTGCTCGGAGGACATCATCAAGAACCTGATACTCGTGGTGCGCGGGCAATTCTCCACTGACGAACTAGTCGAGGAGGTCGAGAAGAGAAATCGGTTGAAACTGTTGTTGCCGTGGCTCGAGTCTCGCGTTCACGAGTGCTGCGTGGAGCCTGCCACGCACAACGCACTAGCAAAGATCTACATTGACAGCAACAACAATCCCGAGCGATTCCTCAAGGAGAATCAATTTTACGACAGCAGAGTCGTCGGCAAGTACTGCGAAAAACGCGACCCGCATCTGGCTTGTATCGCGTACGAGCGTGGCCAGTGCGACCGCGAGCTGATAAGCGTATGCAACGAGAACAGCCTCTTTAAGAGTGAGGCCAGGTATCTGGTGAGACGTAGAGACCCCGACCTCTGGGCAGAGGTTCTCCTGGAGAGCAACCCGTACAAGCGACCGTTGATCGATCAGGTAGTTCAAACGGCATTGTCCGAGACGCAAGATCCCGAAGATATATCAGTCACGGTGAAGGCTTTCATGACGGCCGACCTGCCTAACGAGCTGATCGAACTTCTCGAAAAGATAGTGCTGGATAGTAGCGTGTTCAGCGATCATCGCAATCTGCAGAATCTCCTGATACTAACGGCCATCAAAGCTGACCGCACGCGAGTCATGGAGTACATCAATCGCTTGGACAATTATGACGCTCCGGATATCGCGAACATCGCGATTAACAATGAGCTCTACGAGGAAGCCTTCGCCATTTTCAAGAAGTTTGACGTTAACACATCAGCTATCCAGGTGTTAATCGAGCAGGTCAACAATTTGGATAGAGCTTACGAATTTGCGGAAAGGTAAAGAGAATATTTTCATCTGTTTTATCTTTTTTGACTATTGGCTTTTCTTTGTCTGTGAAATTCGATTATGACACATTGAAAATTTCTGTGCAGATGCAACGAGCCGCCGGTGTGGTCGCAACTCGCCAGAGCTCAATTGCAGCAGGGGCTAGTTAAGGAAGCAATCGATAGTTTTATTAAAGCAGACGACCCGTCGGCGTACATGGACGTAGTGGAAACGGCGCATCGGACCTCGCACTGGGAAGATCTGGTTCGCTATTTGCAGATGGCTCGCAAGAAAGCGCGCGAATCCTTCATTGAGAGCGAATTGATATACGCGTACGCGCGAACTAACCGACTCGCGGACCTCGAGGAATTTATATCAGGCCCTAATCACGCCGATATACAGAAGGTACACGACGTGGAAAGCAGGAGACCCGTTTGTTCATCCGCGAAAGCGCAACGAGTTTCTACTTATTCGTTCTCCTTTACAGATCGGTGACAGGTGTTTCGACGACAAGATGTACGATGCCGCGAAGCTTCTTTATAACAACGTATCTAACTTCGCGCGTCTAGCTATCACCTTGGTGCATCTGAAGGAATTCCAGGGCGCCGTGGACAGCGCGCGCAAAGCTAATTCGACACGCACTTGGAAGGAAGTCTGTTTCGCTTGCGTGGACAGTGGCGAGTTTCGTTTGGCTCAGATGTGCGGCCTGCATATAGTCGTGCACGCGGACGAGCTTGAGGATTTGATCAATTACTATCAAGATCGCGGCCACTTCGAGGAGCTCATTAATCTCTTGGAAGCTGCCTTGGGGCTCGAACGCGCTCACATGGGGATGTTCACCGAGCTAGCTATTCTTTACAGCAAATACAAACCTCAACGAATGAGAGAACACTTGGAACTCTTCTGGTCGCGCGTCAATATACCGAAGGTAGGTTTAGCTTTCGTAGGGCCAATAAACGACTCGATAACGTTTAAGAGAGCAAAGATAATCGAACGAATTTATTTTTGCAGGTGCTACGCGCGGCGGAACAGGCTCACTTGTGGGCCGAATTAGTGTTCCTATACGACAAGTACGAAGAATATGACAACGCAGTGCTCGCAATGATGCAACATCCCACTGAGGCTTGGCGGGAGGGTCATTTCAAGGATGTGATTACTAAAGTCGCCAATGTCGAGCTCTACTACAAAGCTATACAATTCTACGTGGAGTTCAAGCCCCTTCTGCTGAACGATATATTGCTTGTGCTCGCCCCGCGCATGGATCATACCAGATCTGTGGCGTACTTCACGAGAACCGGTCATTTGCAATTGGTGAAACCGTACTTGCGATCAGTCCAAGCTCTCAACAACAAAGCCATCAACGAGGCGTTGAACGGTCTGCTGATCGACGAGGAGGATTATCAAGGTCTTCGTACGTCGATCGACGCGTTCGATAATTTCGATAACATCGCGTTAGCACAACAGCTCGAGAAACACGAATTAATCGAGTTCAGGAGAATCGCCGCCTACTTGTACAAGGGAAACAATAGATGGAAACAATCAGTGGAACTTTGCAAGAAGGATCGGTTGTTCAGGTAAATTTGTGTTCGTTCATGTGTCGTAGAAGAGAGATCGTAGAAAAATGTGTTCGTTATTATACACCTGATTAACTCTTGCAATTCAACACCAGGGATGCTATGGAATACGCGGCGGAGTCGCGGAATCCGGAGGTTGCCGAAGAATTGTTGGAGTGGTTCTTGGAAAGAGGCTCGAAGGACTGTTTTGCCGCGTGCCTATTTCATTGTTACGACTTACTTCATCCGGACGTCATTTTGGAGCTTGCATGGAGACATCGTATCTTACATTTCGCCATGCCGTACCTCATACAGGTCGCGCGGGAATACATAACCAAGGTAGAAAAAACGTACCCGGCACACTTAATTCCGTTAGTGAGTCGCGTTAATCGTTGATTATCTACGATATTGAATATTTCCGACAGGTCGACAAGTTGGAAGAAGCTGAAAGCCGGCGCATCGAGGAAACCGATCATCAGGAACACAAGCCTATGATTATGCGTGAGTAATCATCCCTTGATAACTTTCTCGTCACGATATCGTTTTCTTCATCAGTAATGTTCTCTTCTTTCTAACTCGTTGTCTTTATGCCCACAGCGGAACCTCAGTTGATGCTGACCGCAGGACCAGGGATGATGGCACCTGGCTACGCGCCTCAAAACGTATACGGTACGCCTGCACAAAGCGTGTACGCGTCCACCGCCGCAGCCTATCAAGGTTACGGTATGTGAAATACATTTAACAGAACAGATCAACAAAGTCTACTTTTCTATAAAGTTTAGGTAGAACTTGAGATTGTTTGGTTAGCTTAATATTGTCAAAGCGAATTATACGAATACAAGTATCATTAAAGGCGTAAAAGCTCACGTTTAGATCATGATTATAACGAATGGTGAGATGTATTAGGAGGACAAAGAATCCTATCACACGCTATCTAAGTGTAAACTTGTAATTTATAGGAGAGATTGCCGAATAAGCAATTATATCGCATTGTTTAAGTAGTCTAATCTGGACCTTGTGAAACGGATACACTGTTATGTCGGGTGTAACGCATAATAACACGTAAAGAAAGAAAATTCCTTTTTTTTTCTTTTTAATACCGCGGTGCTGAGATTTTTCTATTGAATTTAATTATCGTTGCACAGAGAGAAAGAGAGAGAGAGAGAGAAAGAGAGACACACAGTGAAGAGGTATATAAATATATATATGTACATGTACGTTGTAAGACAGATATAATTTCGCTGTATTTTGCTCGCACGTGTATGTATGTGCGTCTACGTGCCTTTCTTTTGACTACTGAAAGAGGAAACAAATTACTTCGTTTCGGTCAAATCAACCTTGTGTCTTCGATTCGTCATTTTCACCATACGAGTTACACGGTGTTCGCTTATCCGGACAGACCTCCTCCGTTTTAAATAGCCCTCGTATCTCTTCAGTTCGGTTCCAATGGTCAAGTTGAAACCGATATAATATCGACGAGTCCCGACAGTCTCGAGATATACGGAGAAGAATGACTGTGTCGATTATTCGCGAGCTAATAATAAGATCACATCGGGAAAATCTGAACTCAACGAAATATTATATCGGAATTAATTGAAATCGCTGATTTATACAACACGTATACAAACGTGTTAGGAACAAGTAGTCCAATTTTGAAAGTTCGTCCTTTCTTTCTACTTTCTCAAAATGGTGGCATTATAAAAAAAAAGATATATATAGATTTTAGTAGCGCGCGATGTGAATCGCAGCGAAAATGAAGCGCCCTCGCAAATCGACATGTAATAGGAAGAGCATCTTTTTAGATCGGGTAGATTATGTATTGTTATATCGGTATGTAACGAGATCTTTAAAAACCGGAAGAAAAATCTGTAGACGTTTGAAAAAAAAAGTGTGTTCGCGTGTCTATGATACATCGTTCTAGATCTACCTATGTGTACATTCGCTTGAACGTGATACAGATGCATGTTCGCGGTTAGTTTGATTTGCGCAAACGATTGTTCGTAAAATAATAAATGATTATCAAGAGAGAGAGAGAGAAAGAGAGAAAAAATCACGAAATTGATGGCAAGATCTTATTGTCTTACCAGTATATCGAAATATATACAATAGATTGAGCTTTTTGCCCGATCGTCGTATGTCTCATGCTTTACAAAACCTCTCATTATCCATGTCATAAGAAGACGGTAACAATTAGAGCTTAGAGTATTATGTAAAGATACCGAGGAACTTGAACAAAGCATAACACGATCGTGTATCTATCGCATCGCTCATGTCGTACGAAACTGTTTCGTTGATTCGTTCTCTGATTTGTTTTTATTGATTCCATTGTAATGTGTGTGCATAGTATCTTTCTTGAAGTTATCGGTCGTTAATCATTATAATAGCTCGTTACAAACTATGCCTAAATTATGCATTAAGATAAAGTAGATCGCAATATCTCTAGAGAATGACAAAGTCATGTTGTTGAACACTTGTGTTTGTTAAAGTATTTATGTTGCGTGTATAAAATGCTACATCGATGCATCAGGATCAGTATATGAGATATAGCAAGAGGCAGAGGAAGAATACAGATATTAATTTTTTAGTGTCTTATCTTTAACATTCCTAGATATGTGTGTGCTGCCTTACCGCGTAGTATACTTATTTTAGGTGACAATCTCGCTTGGTTTTTTGTCGCATCTCAAGATACAACAGACATGTGACAGATTATAGTACATATAGTCTTTTTATTCTAAAGTACAAAACTTTTGTTTCCCTTACTCTGTATCGTTTTCTCTATTGTATGAATCTTTTGTTTGATACTTCATAGTTGGTCTTACGATGTTTCAACTGTATAAATCATTTGAAAATATAGCGCCCAAGGAAAACAGGTCGGTAATATGTCCAGCTATTATTTCACTCTGATTCAAATTTAACCGATGAAATCATAGATTGATTAACAAATATAGTCGCTATATTCATTCAGAATAATTGTTGCTGTATCTCAGTGTCATGTTTAGTCATCTTGATTTAAATGGAGTAAAGGCACTTCTAAGATAAAATACATTCAATTATTGTTTAGTAGTTATGTGCACATTCACACCTACACACATACACAAACAAAAATACATATATATATAATTATATATAACTAAATACTGTAATATGTAAGTAGAAAATATACATTACCAATATTGTGTAATTGTAATATCCTATAATAATATAATCTATAAAATAATGAAAAATACACAGAAATAAATAATTCTAACGTCTACATGGAATTGAAGCTGATTGAGTAAAAAAATCACCATTGTTATTAGTTTTATATATATTAATATATTACACAAGTTTGTGATTATACATATACTTTATACCATCATATTCTTTAAATTACTTCCTGAGATTTATATTAAAATCCAATATTAAAATTATCAATGTACTGTATCACACATTTTTATAATATTATAACTGGACCATCCGTGTGTTTTTGAACTTTTTAACTGTTCGCTCCACAGGTCTTACAGAGAGTTGTCTACCAAGTGATTTCAATATTACACCGTCGTCTAAATAAATATGAATTGTAACCACATCTTTTGGTATTGCTGAAAACAAAAGTAGGAAACAATCACCCGCAAATGATTCATCACCTTAAGTATGGTCTATTACTTACTTCGTATAACATTATCTGTCCCACAGATCTTGAAACTGTTTTTGGTATCCTGTATAACAATTCCTGTAAGTCCTGCTAAAGTGGGACATTTTGATCTACTTATTAATATCTTAGCACCATGAAAATCAGCCTTTATTAATTGTTGACTAATATTCTCCCAATTTGGATTTGTGGGATTATCTGGTATACTAGTAAATGATTTGTTACCAAGCATTTCTCTCATGTACTTTAACCATAATTGATTTAAAGGCAAAACATCAGAGTATTTAATATTATTTCCAATTTTACCCAAACCAAGGCGCAACTTCCTTCTGGTAGTTAAGAATTTTCCTCTGGAGTTTAATCTTAGTTTATGTTTCACTTTAAATTTGTTAAGTGTATAAGTCTGTATAAAAGCCATAAAATGTTTCAGTTAACCTTATCGTATGTAGCTATTTCATTCCGTTGTTACATATTTTACTGCATACATACCTTTCGCATTTCGTCCGAAATAAATTTACGATCAGACGGTGGTAAAACATTTTGCAAAAAGTCTGCAACGTATTGTTCCTTGTTCTCACAAATTTCAATACGATTAGTCAAGCAATCAGGAAGTGGTGAGCATAACTCTGAAATTAATTGTTATTAACATTCGAATAATAAATGAAAAAGAACGTTATATCCATTTGATTAATATTTACTTGCATAGTTTGACATGTTTATATAATTTGCGTTGTTTAATCACAAATCAACTTAAATTACTTAAATTTTGTTCGCATGTGGACACAGCTCCGATATTTAGATACAAATAGAAGCAAGTCGATGAGATAAATGATAGTCTGATTTACCATTCATTTATACTACTTCAAGAAGAAAAGTTTTTCTGGCTTGTCATTGAGTCATACTATGCGCTAAAATTTGTGTTAGGGCTATCGCACACAAATTGACATAACTGCATATGCATAGCATAAGATTGTATGGACCAATGAACATCGAATATTAAGCATCGAACACCAATATGGCGACTTAATACTCGATGCTCATTGGTACATACGGTCTTATGCTATGCATATGCAGTTATGTCAATTTGTGTGCGATAGCCCTTAAAGAGAGTGATGGCTCGTAGCGGCAATTTCGGAACTAATAAAAATAACAGATCTAAAACCCTATGCACAATGTCAGGCAATAGGAATAGATATTAGCCAATAGGAACAGGGAATAGAACAGAAATAATTGACCAATCCGAATTCCTATTCCGTGTTCTTATTGCCTGGCATTCTGCAAGGCCTTTAAGACTGGTTTATGATGGCCGTAATCAGTTAACTTATGCCGGAACCGTAAAAAATTGACCAATCACAGTCGACTATTCTTCTATAATTCAACTATGATTGGTCAATTTTTTACGGTTCCGGCATAAGTTAACGGATTACGGCTATCATAAACCGGCCTTTAGACTTAGTTTCAAAATTATCGCTATGAGCCGCCACTGTCTTCGATAAAGACTTCAGCATGTAGTACGACTCAATGACAAGAGATAGAGAAAGAAAGAGAGTCACGATCCAATATTGGGTCTAATAAACTTTAGACTTTTTAGCCCGAAGTCTTCTCGTAATACATACTCTTCGTTGCAAAAAATACGAAGATATTATTGCTCGGGTCGAAAACGATACGAGTGTGGAAAAAATGGTTTTGCGTGCTTTCAATAAAAGGAATGCCGAAATTGCTGTAAAATGGTAAGTTTCTTTCTTCTGTATTTTTAATATATTTGGCTGTATTTTGTAACATCTCGACATTCAGAGTTAATAATGTCAGTAACCAATTTAGTTTTGTATATTTTTTTAACATATTTCTATATAATATATAATAAAATAATAATGACATAACAGGTTTGCTTGTATCTTCTGTATTTGGTAATATCTCTTTTCTCTTTCTATTTCTTTCCAAGGCTGTGAACATTCAGCTGTTTTACAGAAGATATAGAGATGCATTAGAAAACTCTTTGTCTAGGCCTGCAAATAATAATGATTCTTTCACATCTTAGGTTACCGACAGCATTCACCTATGGAACTGGTGCAACAGTGATGATGTTGTATATGACAGATTGGAAAGTAGTGTTGCAATATGTTCCTTTTTATGGTAGCAAATTCAATGAAGAATAGTCATAAGATATCAAGCCAATACTCGAAGATGATTATGTAACAATTCTATTAAAGAATTGTACTGCATTGTACTCTGTTTATTTATTTAAATAAAATCATAGTAAGGAATAGACAGATTTTAAGGACATATCCTATATTATAAACTTTAAGTCTTATCGGATTGCTGTGTAGTTCTTTTGCGCTGTTCATAGATTATATTTGCAAATTCTTCTGCTTCTGCAAGTTTCCGATGCTTAAACCATGGTCCCACAACTGTCCTACAAAAAAAATAAGCTATACAGATCTTGTCCAAAAATGCCTGTGTTTGCTTATTATATAAGATTGAAGAAAAAGTCACTCCCTTACTTGTAACCAACACAAACCAAGGCTACACCAATTACTATAAGCCCAATATTAGTAAACTTCTGAACCAAATAGCGTTTGGTTTTTATTGGTATGCTGTAAAAAACATTCATTACAGTATATTATACTGCAGATGAGAAATATAGAAAATAAATTTATTCGTTCCGAATTATTTAATTAATATTATTAATGTAATTCATAATTAATATAACATTAATTTAATTATGAGCATACATATTAAAAGGTTTTAATATTCTATTACGTAACATCAGTGAAATAATAAATTTTAACACATTTGAGTCACATGCATAGAGGTTATGATACGAGCGATATTGTAAACGACTTGTTACCTCATTTTGCTTGACTTTTCTCAGCTGAATTTTTTGTTAATTCTTGGACTATAATAGGATTCCAATTAAAATAACCAGTGACTAGCCCTAAAACAGTTACTATATAAATGTGATCCTTCCTCAGGCCTCTTGGTATTTTAATTTTCATTCTGTATCCGATGATAATACAGATTCTCGATTGAACCTTGGTTGCGTTCCGTTTCACGCATTATGCGCGCATTTCCTACAATATACGTGACATGAACTGTAGATAAACGCGCGCATATATGTGAAACGGAACGCGGCCCTTGTTAGCTTTCAGAACGTGCCATATGATCAATAACAGTCCCTTTTCGTGAGCTTTGTTTCGAATTGTATAGGAAAGTTTTAAAACAATTCATATACGTGATAAACGATTTATTTTTATTTACAAACATTTTTCTTCATTTCTTTTTATTTGCATGTCTAGGAGCCTTAAAAAATTAAAAATTTTTCATGGAATATGAAAAATGGAATGTGATATTACATCACATTTATCTATATAACTTGCGCGAATTTTATTCCTCAGATAAAACAAAAATAAGATTTGAACAAATAGTTAATATTTAGATCTTGCCAGAATATTTGTGAAATTTATTAAATGTGTTTAATTGTACTTTGAAGATTTCCTGTAACGATGTCGGTAATGTACGGGACAATAAAGCAATTCCATGCTGATCACAAATGCTGATTAAGTTGCACAGAGAATTCTGCAAAGCTACCTAAAATGGAAAAAGCGAGTAATTAAAAGCAATCTATAATAAAAAGAAAATTCAGATAATAAAAACCAAGACTATTACTTTGATGTAAGATGGTATAGTGCTCTCTAAAATCAATTGCAACAAATCAGCAATTAGATAGGGACTCAGTCGCATCATATCCTTCTTTAGTTTTATCAGCAAGCCTGTAAATCTGTCGAGAAAATGTCTGTTATCTTCTTGACGAATTATTGTCGCTACTAATGATTATATATTGATTACATTAAATGTCTGAATAATATTATATTTAAAAACCCTTTAAATTGGTTGAACTTACTTTTCGATATCGAGTGCTAAGCATCTGAATCGATGCTCCTCAAATTTATCGGATATGTTTTTCGACGCGTGCACAATGACGTTCACCACACCTCTGTATAGCAGCAATAAAGCAGGCAAGCTGTCAGTTATTAAGTTTGTTCTGACTTTTATCAGCGCTCCACATAAAGCGAGCACGTTCTCGCAGGACGATATTTTCACCTTTTCGAGAGATTTCAAACTGGTCGTTATGATGAGATCGAAAGTATCATTGGGGATAAACGAGTGTTTGGTACTGATTATATCGCACGATAAACGCACGAAGTCCGACCAACATCTGTCGGGAATGCACAACAATTGCGCAGTTTCGAACAGATTGTTGATCGCATCAAAACGTATTTTATTACGTTTCGCATGCATGTCCGTTTTTATTATGTCATTCCAGACGGCCAACAGATTCGTCCATGTCGCTTCATCCGCTTGCGACAAACTCTTTATCTGTACAGAGAATAAACATTACAGATGCATACAGATGTTGTTAACAATCATTACGCATATGTATTAAATAAGAAATGGTACCGTCTCATCGTGCAGCAGTCTTATAAGTTCACGAAACTCTTTTAGTTGAATGGACGCCAATAACGACTTGCGTAAGTTTTCATAAGGATGTTTCAGCATTACAAACCACAAATTTACAACAGTCGCGTTTTGAATTTCAAACTCTTTACGGTGCCGTAAAACAATTGTAGCTAACTGTATGCCTTCTTGCAACAATTCGCTATTAGTTGAGTCGTTCAGATATTCTTTCGTCTGTAATATTTATTTTTATTTGTAATATAATGAAATCTAATTTGTAATTTTCGTTTTTATCATTATATAGTACACATTTTTATACATACCGTAAATATATTTTGAAAAGTTAATTTGGTCAATTCTTTTAAAGTATTGTTGATCTTCTTCATTGATATTGTTACTTTTAATACCGCTGTTAAACACCTTACATCTGAGGCACTGTTTATTTCTTCAGGTAGTATATTTAGAATGGCTTTGGCTAATTTTCTTTCTGCTTTCTTGAAAATGATTTTTTGTTCAGGATTTAATTTTGATCTAACAATCTCCATTCGTTCCAAAACAGTGTACATAGCTTCTCTGCATTGAGCAGAACTCTTTATGAGATTCTTAAGAGTGGAATATGTGGTCACGTTACGAAGAGAGAATTCGCAAGCCTTCGAGAATGCTTTGTTCTGTGGCAATTGATTTACCAGTACTGCTGGTTCAATGTATTGAAATATGTCAATACCAGTTTTCTCTAATAAATCTGGAAAGATCAGAGATAGTTGTAACTGTAATATGTACACAAGAAATTCATGTTTTTAATATTAGTTTCTTAATTCCTTCTACATATGAATAATAATTAAAAATGAGGAGAATAATGCAATGATTTCAAAGAAATGAGATAGAATTACCTGAAAATACCAAATTGCATAATGTTAATATCTTTTTGTTTGTTTCACATTCTTTGCTAATGGAATACACAACCAAAAATATTAATGTTCTCGTATTAGAACCGAAGTACATGATTGGTATATGTAGTAACATTTCCAAATACAATTCGATTTTAGAGAAAACTGCATTTGTCATTGGCATCCATTGTTGTTGTGATATCTGTTCTTTTATAACTTGCAAGACTTTCACTAATTTTTCATTTTCATTATGTTTGTCCTCCATCAACAGCTTCTACAATTTTAATATTATAATGAAAACATGTGATATTTTTATTTCACGATTATTAGCTAAAAATGTGAGAGATTTTTTGCATTGAATTATACTTACAGCATTAATGTGTTTGGTGATGGATTTTGTATATCCTGATGAGAAACACTGCCCAATTTGGGCAAGAGCATGACTCACAAGGCATATTAGAAAGCACTTATTTTCTTGAATACATTCTTTATCTAATATATTAAGCCACTCGTGAAAGTTCTTTTCACTTGATGTTATATCAGTCCATAATAAATTTGCTACTTTGGATATTTCTTTGTCACATAACAAGGAAAGTATGTTTGGATCATGTTTCAATATAGTGCTCCAAGAATATTCAAGGCCACCTATTAAATTGTGAAGCTTGATAGGCTCATTTGATAAATTTAGTTTTATTCTATGTAAAATAAGGTTATTCTGAAATTAATAAATATATGAGCAATTGTGGTATTTTATTAAAAATATCTACATAAAGAGGTGCATGTACGTACACATATATTTAAAGAACTGCACGTACCATAACATTCTTGCAATTATCTTCTCCGAAATTACTTATTCTTTGGATCAACTGTTGCCAAGGATCATCCTGAATTGGGAACGATAACGTTTTGGCACCGGCAACTTTTGGCACATAATATTTTAACATATTTTGCATTTCACTCAATGCCTGCACTGCAGTCAACAGTATTATGGTAACATTTTTGTTGTGGCTTAAACACAATGCTTTGTTTATCAGCAGTGACAAAGCATTCCCCAGCTCGTCAAGGATGTTGGCAAATTTCTCGTAAATGGATGATACTCTGGTAAATTCGAAAATTTGTATGCCTTCGGAAAATGTGACTAGCAACTCTACTGTCGCCCTCAACATTAATACATTTTTACCTGCAAATTATATTAAGAGAAATATATCATATTATACATATATATATCTGAATTTTTTATATTTTATTAAAATAATAATCATCCCATAATATAAGAGACTTACATGAAGTATTATCCTGCAACAGTTCCATACAGTCTGTGTTTAAATGATACGTTAATGTTTTTAAGCTTGCAATCACCTGTGAACTGGAAGTATTGTTGATTGATTTTGCTAATTTTACTTTAAATTCCTGTGGAAAAAATTCAGACTTGCTCGTCTTATGCTTTTTTTTAACTGCAACATGCTGTTTTACAGATATTAGTAATTGTGAAATGAGCTTCTGTTCTCGTCTTAATTTCGTGCTGGCATACAGAATTGCGATTAATAAATTTGTATAGTCTGCATTTTGTTCCTCCGAGAATATTTTACTCAAGATATTCGGAATATTACTTTCTATTAAAAGTGGGTTGATATATGAAAGTTTTACAAGTATCCCACATTGAACATATGTTATATTTTCGTTCGTTAAAATGTCACTTATTAATTTCTGAAAATATTCAGATAGTGTAACATCTTCTATAACATTTTCAAAATCGAATGATACATCATTTAATAACTGGAGAGAAACGTTCAATATTTCCCATTTGTATCTTCCAGAAGTATTAATTAGATTCCTGAAGAACATATCCAATAAAGCAGTGTCTGATTTGTAAGTGCCTACTGCTGCACGAAGAATAAATAAATATGTTGCAAGATTACTCTGGAGATTTAGCTTTTCCACATTCTCAGACAACACACAGAATAAGTCTGGAAACATTGTAGGACTACTTTCTGTTGTATGATCGTTTTGAGTATTTCTTTTTTCCAGTAATAAGTGCTGTATGCATTTATATGCTGCTACTCCGAGCTTATTTGTACTATCTGCATGTCTATGATCAATTAGATTGCACATAGGATATAAAATATCATGTATAAAAATTATTCTCATTTCTTTTTTCGCAGTTATTGACTGTCTATATATCTGTATTATACTTTCAATAATGCTAATTATACCACAACTCTCAACAGATGATAATACACAGGACTTGAGTAACTCTTCATCTTCCTTTTGTGTTTCGCTGTGATAGTTAGAATGTTTCAGTACAGTGTTCAATAAAATTTTTACCAAGAGACCTAAGTCTTTTGGCTTTTTTTTAAAATATTGTCGCATGCTATTGTTAGCAAGGATTAAAGTACAGCATTCAAGAACTTCTTCATACGTTTCTTCCGCAAGATTATTTAATGTACGTATGAGTGTATCAACCAAACATTGTTTTATGTTGATCTTAATGTCAATATGAACAGATTTAAGACAATTATTTAAAGTCTTCCACGCATGCGGATTTGTCACACATATTTTGCACAGCCAGTCCAAAAGTATATCTTCCTTTTGAACGAGTGGTAAATCCACTGCAGAAAATGCAGTTTCTGCTAATTTCAATCGTTTAGGCAAAGGATCGTCTTCTGAATTCAAACGTTTTAATAATTCTACAAAGAATAAATACGTTATAAGAATATAATACATTAAAATGTCAGATTTTAGGTTAGCCGGTTACATGCTGAAACAATTCTGCTAAACAAAAACTATCACAAGTCGTTTACTTACGCCCTGACAACGCCATTGTAATAATTTGCTCAATTTCTCAACTTATTCTGTGATGTTTCTCATATCTCGTTCCTTATATGTACAAAATTATACACATGTTTTCAATAAAAATATGCGATACACGCTAGATCGTCGAGGTTAATGATTGGGGTTAGGTATTCACGCAGACGATATGACTCTTGCTGCGTTCGGAAACGTTACTCGAGTACTCTTTCTCTCTTTTTATCTCATGCTTGTATCTCTCCCACTCCACATAACGGATACACTTGGGTGACGTTTCCGAACAGCTCAGGTGCTGCCTCAACATCACTACGAGTGGACGATATAGACTGCGTTCCGAAATGCACTGCCAGTACTGAAAATCTATAGTTCATATTACGTATATTATAGAATTTCAGTACTGGCAGTGAATTTCGGAACGCAGCCATGATTGGTCATCTAATAGGAAATATCTAAGATCTGTTTTTTCAGCATTGCTGCTATAAAGTGAGATAAAATATATTTTTATCTTACTCTAACTCATATGTACAGCTGAAAAGAACAGACCACAAGAAGTTATCACAAAATTCTCCAGATTTCTCGGAATAGTCTGAAATTTATATATTTGAATTCTCGCGCGTTTTATTCTGTTCAGAGTATCTCAAACTTTTTTACATAACAGAAATCCTTAACTTTAATTATTTTATTAGTTAAAAAGCACGGATTTGATATCATTATATAAAATAGACTTATTATTTAAATAAAAGAACGTAAATATAAAATTACCATAATTTTAAATTCATGATCGTATTATCTTTCAGAAAAATTTATAGTACGAGTGCAATAATTGCATATACTTGAAGGAAAATTTTTAAAATGATCTAGGAAGTGTGCGATCGTTTCGGTTTACACATTGTCCTGTATTCTGCGTACATTTTTGATATATGTTCACAAACATTATATTGCTTATGCACGTGTGCCGTTAATACAAAGTATGTTAGTGCAAAGTTTTGGTATTGGGTCCGGTCGCGTCAGAGACAGTTTGACTATCCTCCATCGGCTCCGCTGTTACATCGAACTGTTCGTTGTTAACATATTGTTCCCCCGGATACTGTGCGGTATTATAGCTACTATACTGATCGTAATCCTGCTCTGCCATGTAAGTGTCCATGCTCGGATCATTCGCAGTGTATTCTTGCTCGTCGCCGTGAACGTCTCTCTGGTACATCTCCGTGGTCTCCATCGTGTTTGGTACGGAGTCGTTTCCCACGGCGCGCTGCTGGTCGTCCGACAAGCCGTACAAGTCCTGCGACTGATCGTTCGTAGAATACACTTCGGGCCCTACGTCCGTCACTTGTTGACCGGGAGGAACAGCCTCGTACGTCTGATGAATCATTCGCGACGTTGGAATGTTGTTCTCACCGGCTGGCAATCCGTTCGACGACGGCGGGGCTACTGAATCCATCGTACGATTATATTGAAAAGCTGCGGGCGTGCCATCGTTAGTTTCCATAGGAGCTCCTCCTGAAGAACAATCGCCATTAATATCCAAAGTATACTCGCGGTTTAAATAATAGATCGCGTGCGAGTAAGAACGCCGTTACCTTCGTGACTCACAAAGCTGCTTTGTATTTTATTCGATAAGTGCTCTATGTTGCTTTGTAGGCCGGCCATTTCTTCCCTGCGGTAAATGTGAAAACAAAGGAGCATTATCAGATACGGAGTTAAAAATTGTATTTAGTTTATCTAGCGGGAGAACGTCGGGAGCGTAGTGATGTGCATGCGATTCGTTAGAGAACACGTCGCTATTACTGTGCTGATAGAGACGTTTTGGAGTCTGACTTCTTTTTCGGAATTACTTTTACTTTTAGATCGACCTTAACGGTACGTTTCTTGCTCGAAGGCGAAGCGGTTTGCCCAACTGTCGTCACATCTCTCTCAACGACTCCCTCTGTCAACACAGAATAGCCCCAGATATATATATTGTAAGTGGGTGCCCTTATCTACTAATTAGTATACACGTAATATTATACGTAATAGCTGTACATTAGTACGTTATATAGTTCGATTTAATTAAAGTCTATAAACTAAGCTAACACTCAAGACAATCAAAGCTACCAGCTAAGCTGCAATTAAATGAAAAAAATATCCGGTAACTGAAAGTATACGCGCGTGTATTACATCGTACGTTCGGGCTCTCGGGCGAAAGCAAAGCAAGAAAATATACTTGTGTTTAAGACTGTTAGCTTCCAAACGCTGTGTGAGAGATTGGCATTCGGCAGTCAGTCTCGAGACGAGCGTAGCCTGATTATTCAGGGCGTCTTCTAGGCCCGCCACCGTAGCAGCTGCGAAATTTGCTTGCATCAGCCTGTTGCGATGTTAATTGACTTATCTCACCTCCGCCTATGCTAGGCATAGTGTCAGCATGCCGATTTCTCACACATAGAGACATTATTTTCCAAATTAAAAAAAAAGAAGGAAGTTGCACAACAACACTTTTCACGGACAATATACCTAACATAGGCATACCTAAGACGAGATATCTTACCATGCTTAGTCTCCATGTCCATTATCATAGAAGTCAATTCCTTCTCGTTCTCCAGTCTAGGCGTAACTTGACTACGACCGTCCTCAGGGTGTGCAATTTTGCTCATACTTATCTGAAAGTATATAAGGGCTTCGTTTAAAAAATATTACATCGATAGATATGTCAACAGTTTGATTTAAAGTTTAAATTTTAAACTTTAAATCAAAC